CGCAATGGCCTTCACTTTGTATGAGTGCTTGGACGAATTCGGCAGAGAAGAGATACTCTCAGAAAATGACGCTTGGTACTGCCCTCGATGCAAAGAACATCGTCGTGCTAGCAAGAAGTTTGAGTTGTGGACTATACCGGATATCCTGGTCATGCATTTCAAACGATTCAGCGCCAGTCGGATGTATAGAGATAAACTAGAGGATCTGGTTGACTTTCCTCTTGAACTTGACATGACGGGCAGAACGCAGGCGCCCGACGATGGCAGAAGCATGATGTATGATCTAATCGGCGTTGATAATCATTTTGGCACCCTTGGTGGCGGACATTACACCGCTTCTGCTAAAAGCTTTGTTGATGGCAACTGGTATGAGTTTAATGGTAAGATCCAAGGCTCCTGATTTGGCTTTCCCCGATACCAAACCGACAAAATTGCTAACACTTGATTCAGATTCTCATGTGTCGAGGAAAGGCCTCAACTCCATCGTTACGAACCACGCATACCTCTTGTTCTACCGCCGGCGTTCAGATCACCCTTTAGGCGGGCCGTATCTAGCCAAGGTGACAGAAGCGGCGTACCAAAAAAACGCAGCAGACTCTGATTCCCCCGAAGACTCCGATGGGAACTCGGGGGAAGGCAAGCGCCTCGACGGCTCCTCCCGCAATGGGTCGTCGAGCGCTTTAGCCGAAGCCGCAGCAGCTCACCAAGCGGGAGATGGTGGTTTGCAGGGCGAAATCCTCAACCATAGTAACGCAGACGATGATCCGCCGGAATACCTGGACATTGCGCGGGGCGGAGAGACTGTCCTTGAACGCGGCGATGGCATAGAAGGCATGGAGATCGATGGGTATGAACGATACGGCGCCGGCCCCATGTCGTATATGGAAGCTCGATGGTCGTTCAACAATGTTGGCAAAGAACCGTATTACGAACCAAACGAAGATATGGATGATGACTCGAGTGTAAAGGCCTTTGGGTCGGGGAGCGATCGCGACGGGCAAATCCGACCGTTGGGCAGCTCTGAAGGACCAGACCCGTTGTTCTCTGGGATGGATTATGATAATGGGCATCTGAATATTCTGAACGTGGGTGACGATGAGGATGATGGAAATCTGCCTGTGGTTGAACTGCCTGTTCCTGACGAAGAGTCGAGCAGCTAAGTCTTCCCAGACTCTTGTTTTCTGTAGCGACAATCTCGCTCTTTGCAAGCCTTTGGTGCTATTGCATCGTCCAAGTTTCTCTAACCATCTTTAACCAAAAAGGGATTTGCTTTCCCTCGTCATGTTAAGACTTACTGGTGTTATGGATGAACTTTTTGTTCTTTTTTTTTTTTTTTTTGCTTACTTGCGCTTTCTATTCACGCAGCATTGCCTCTCGTCTTATTTGAGGCCTTTGCTTTCATTACATTAAATACTCATAATAGCTTTATCCCAAAAATAGACCCTCATTTTGTTTTCCTGGCTGCCTCCGCTGGAAACGTGGGACGCCGTTGTCCTCCGAACCATCAACCCGACTTTTCAATTCCAGGGGATCCGATCTCTAACTTTCCGAGCCACAACTGCAGCCTAGTCGGTTCCATCGCTTTTGTGCCCTGATAGACATCAATGATGACCTGAACCGTCCACGTCTCTGACTCTGAGTCCCATGGTTGTTTAACGACGTGACATCATTATGAGGGCATGCCTTAGGCTGAGACGATCTATAAGTATGCGGATGGGAGTTCCCAACGCTCAGAATCATTCAACTATTGCTTCTGTGCAAAAGGGCCCAAATATTTTCTACATTTCCTGCATTCTCACTGTTTACTGTGAGACCAGAAAGCATCGTCTTTTTGCATTTCAGGGAATCTTCCTTACTATACCAGACTGTGTTGAAACGGCATTTTCCTCCTACCCCAGATTTCTCTCCATCAAGTATCCCTCTCTTTCTCGAAATCTCCCAATCCCTCTTTACAATCATGGCGACCCCAACCGAGACCTTGAGCCAAGCTACCACCATCCAGGCAATCTCCTCCACCTTCCCCCTCCTCAAACCCCAGCCCGCCATCGTGGTCGAAAAAACCCCCGACTGCGGGCGCAAGCTCATCTCCAAATGGTTCAAGCGCCCCTCGGAGCCATCAGAATACGACTTTCCCGAAAAGCTCGCGGAGGAAGGCCGCGTGGAAGACACCTCGACGAAAAAAAGTACCCGCCGGTTTAAATTACGCCGGTGTGAACTCTGCCGGTGTGAACTCTTTGGGGAAGATTGGCAGGAGACCTGGACCATCAATGGCCTGCTCCTCATTTTTGGCGGAGTTGGGTTGTATCTTCTTTGGAGGCTGTTTGTGCAATCGGAGTTTATATAGGCCGAGGAGCGCAAAAGGGGGATAGACACATGGGCCTTTTCTAGGCTAGGACTTTAATTTTGTCTTTTGGGCTCGAGCTTTCTTTCTGGGGATGAGAGGGTGTGTGTGTATGTTGGTTATTATCATTTAATGCCGTTACGCTGTGCGATCGAGTGCGTGTTTTCGGCCTTAGGATTTTGCACAGTCAACCGCATTTGGGACGCACTTGGGATCTATTTGCTTTGTACTTTCCGGCATGGGTTAACCGCGTTTTGTGAGCAAGGAACAGAAACGAATCTGATGAGTATTAATTATGCAGCATAGAATTGGTCTAGGACAATGCCCATGCTTTAACCCATCTCACGATTTGATTGTAGCTTATGAAAAATCATTTGAAGACCACGCCCTATAAGCAAAGTCAGCAGCCGTAACCAAGCCCCCAAACTGGTGAGTAGTCTGGAGCTGGTAGAATGACAGTAGGGGTCCAGTGTTGGCATAAGTAACCAAAGATCCGGATATAATTCTTCTTATAAGCATAGGTAGTTGAAATTTAAATTGTGAGCGACTATTTCCTTCAATAGATCGTAAGGAACCACATCAAGCATACATATAAACGGCGGCAATGCAGTTCAGTAAAACGCCCAAAACACTCCCCAACGTCGTCTATATTTGAAGCGGCTGTTGCCACGCCGGTTCTTCCTAGGGAATCCACTATCCCGGATTTGTTGCCAGCGCCGTTAGATAAATCGTGGTTACCGGCGAGTAGATGGTTGTTGTTTTATCATCCTCCGTTGACGACGGCGCCACACTCGTGGGGGAGGGGATCTCACTCGACTTCCGATCGATGGGGTCCGGTAACGGTTTCGTGGTAGTGACCCATATTGTTGTTCTAAAAGTGCTCCTAATGAAGGTGGTAGACGTGGTGAAAGTGACCTGGGGCGTAGGAGTCGGCGACGGCGACGGGGACGGCGACAATGACGGTGACGGTGACGGACTGGAGGTAGAGGACGTTGTGGTGGACATTATTCCTGACGGGGAGCTGTATTCAGTTTTTATGTTCTGTGACATAGTAGGGGTAATAGGAAGAGACGAGTTTGTGGATACCGGAGCTCCAGAATTGGTTGCTCGGTGGTTGAAAACACCAAGAGTCATGCAAACGATGATTATCAAGATGATAGCCACCAGGATGCTAACGACGATGAACACGATATTGAAAATCCTCCATCGTCGTTCGCAATCCTCGCAGTAACAAAAGCCATTGCCCTCATCAGGACCGTTCTCCTCTATTGGTTGCTCCGCAACTTGTCCAGCTTCCACGTTTCGCTCGACCCTTTCACGAAGCCCATCGTCCCGTTCTTGCACCACGGTAGAATCGAATCTCCTCATTAGGCCTCCAAATGACGTTGTCTCTGAGATTCTGTCGGCGCCGCTCTGTGCTGATGGTATAAACAGGCCGTTTTGACCCCTATCCGTTTCCACATTCCTTCCGACACTGAAGTGTTCATCATTATATGCTAAGGGTCGGGAATATATAGACGATGAAGGCCTAAAATATGGCACTCCAGGAACGAAATCTGGTGTGTTCGACGGGAATCTGTTTGTTTGCCGATTGCTTGAGCGGCTTCTAGGGCGAACAAACCCTATTGGAATTTGCTCCATTCCGGTGTGCTGTTTGGTGAAGGGGTTTGGGATATCTAGGTCCCTAGTCAGTAGAACAGCCTTTGACCTAGAAACAGGATGAGGATTATCAATTAGGCAAAACGTAGCGCATAGCCAAGTTTCAGCGGCAGCGGATATCCAAGGAGTATAAATAGCAGACATCACTAGTTGCTGAGGCAAGTTTTGCCATTCTTATAAACAGTCAGCAAACGATAAGCTATGCAGCAAAGTGCGTGAATATCACTGTAGATAGAATGGAATATGCCCGGAATGTTCACCGGTCCCATTCACGAACACAGCAATCGTGAAAGCGTGCTTTTGAGTCTGATAATGGTATTCTTTAGCCACAGACTTCCTGGAGCGATGCGCAAAGTGGAATAGCAGCCAATGAAATCCAGTAAGCCATGCAATAGTTGTGCTATACAAGTCTTATACAACCTGGCTAGCTCAACGGTTAGCCAATTTTCTATAGTATAGGAGAATAATATAAACATAATATTGATATAGAGACAAAACCACTCACCGAAGTTTTGATCTGGAGCATATAAAGGTACTTTGCTGGATTGATAAGACAACTTGGATCCAATGGAGCCGGGCATTGCTCTGCTTATCTTCGCCCACATGAAAGAATCTGTGGCATGGTATAAATTTAGGTATCGAAGCCTAAAGCAAATTTACAACAGCAATTGATGATTGATTGCAGCTGGTAGCTGGCACTGCATCCGGCCGTCTGATAAGGTGAAACGCATTGGGAGACGTCTCTTGGTAGTTAGTTAGTTAACTTAGCTGGTTAGTGATTGCTCAAGTCTTCTTTGTGTGAGCAGCAGCAGACAGCACCAGCCAAAACATCAGCATCCCATTCCACAGGCTTTGCTGTGATTTTGCTTCTCGTCACAGATAGAGACAGCTTTGGTCATTGTTATCCCTGTTGGAGGTTGTCCTCGCGCTGTCTATGAGTCAGCTGGGACGAAGTTTTGTTGTTCCGTGGCGCCTGCAGTCAATGCAGCGGATTCTCTGCAAAATGGGTGCTTTCAATCTCTATGGAAAACACTGCAGCATGGCAGATACACTGAATGAGTCGAGTTTCCGAAGCAATCATGATGATAATATTGATCTTTGAACTAAACTAGACTTGAGAGAATCAAAGTCATTGACTCTTTGAAGAGTGCTGAACCCCAGACTAACTAACTAGTTAAACTAGAGATATGCAGCATGAATCGAATAGCACAATTGGGATGCCAATAGGTATGTTCAATACCCAACCCACGAGGTGAATATGCCCCTCGAAAACCTGGTTGACCTCCCAAGTAGATAGGTCTACCCCAGAAGCAAGCGCAGTTATCTCCTCCCAAGTGCCTTTAGCTCCTGGACCTCCTTATCCTCGCCCTCCAACCCGAGTACAGTTGCAAGCTCCGAATAGTCGGACTGCCACAGCCCTGGCGAATTTTTCGGATACTGAGATCTGAACCCAAGTATACGTTGGGCCCTCGGGCTCATTTTCTTGACTGACTCCATGGGGACTATGAATGGGTAGGCTTCCTCAGGCGTGAAATAGCTTGGTATAAAGCTCCAGGAGATGACTCGGCGGTGCTCGTTTTGGGTGAGATTCGCGCCTCCACCATGAATGACCTTGCCTGTAATCATGAGTATGTCACCAGCATTGAGCTCTGCAGGCACGGTTTGCTCCGGGGTCCCCTTCTCGTAAAAGTCCTCCCACCTATGCGATCCAGGGATGACTCGTGTGGCGCCGTTTTGTTCAGTGCAGTCAGTCAATGCGATAAGAAAGTTGATGACGCATTCTGGGCCGTCGGGCCCGAGGCGGTTCGGAAGCTGATATTGCCCTTGATCGCGGTGGAGAACCTGGGCAGTGTTTCCGGGCCCAATTTCGATCACCTGGTGCGAGGCCATCCAATATGTGCCGGACTCGATATGAAAAACCTGGGCGAGCATGCTATGGATATAGTCGTGGTCGAGGACCTCTTCGCGAAACACGCGGCTGTGGTTGACGACGTTGGTCATGCGTTTTGTCTGCGCACCGTGGAATTTGCGGATGTGTTCTGCGCTGTGGGTAGATCCGGCCGATATCTTCTCGAGTGGCCCGTCAATCTCAGCATTCATACGAGCCACTTGCTCCTTTGTGAGAAATCCCTCCAGAACCACTCCTCCTTCCTGCTTGACCAAACGCGTTACTTCTTCTGGCGGAGTCGAAAACGCGGGAACTCGTAACATGCTGGGCGTTTTATTTGAGTGAGGCATATTGTTCGAAACAATTGGTGTGAAATCCAGTCCTCAAAAAAAAGTATATAGAACCGATATCACTTTAGCATGGAGACTTGATTGATCCATATTGTGACTTGGAGCCGGTATTTATCTTGCTTGATGCTGAAGCATTGCGGGCAGAGGACGCTTGTCGTAAGGTCCCCTAGGCGATAGTCTGTTTGATCTCAACAAGCAACATGCACAAAGGTGGAATCTAAGCGATCCATGGGCAGATGCGGGGAGAATAACTACACCGGCACTCGGGGGCGAAAGTCTAGCGTATCATGATCCTCCTCTGCAGTTTGCGGCTCGGCTCATGATCGTGTCTCCCACTATCTAAGCGACCCAAGGAGAGTAACTAAGCGTTCTGTGGGCCTCTGATATTTACTCTACGGGCGCTGCATCCTTGGAAAGCTCTTTTCCCCACAACTGAGCAGAGCTAACTTGGGGGTCGAGGAGCATCACCGGCCGGAGAAGGTCTGCTGGGACAGAATGATAATTATGGCCGTATATGCCGTTGCATTTATTTAACGGCCAGCTCTTCATTCTTGTCGTCTGAGATTCCAAGCACAGGTGACATTACCATAATTTAGCACTCATGGATTCAACACCGTTAAAGGGCAAGTTTGCCATTGTTACTGGGGGTTCTCGCGGTTCGTATGTTCCATTTACTTTTCAAAATTCAAAGTCGATGGTCTCTTACAATTTTATATAGGCTTGGGTAGGGCAATCGCTCTTGAACTGGCCAGGCGTGGTGCTTCGATTCTCCTTACGTTCGCATCGTCCTCCGCTGGTGCTGAAAAGACGGTTGCCGATATCACTGCGGCTGGGGGAAAAGCACACGCTGTGGCGGCAAACGGCCATGACTCCCAGAAAGCCGCGGACGCCATCATTGCCAGAGCACTTGAGCTTTCAGGCGATGGAATCGACATCGTAGTGAACAATGCAGCGGACGGATCTGACCAGACATTGGAAGAGGTGGATACAGCAATGTTTGACCGGGTTATGCATGCAAATGTTCTTTTCCCGATGCTGCTTGTCAAGGCCTGTCGTCCACATCTTCGACGGGGGGCGAGGATCGTGAATGTCAGCTCTACAAGTGCAAGGCGCGGTGGGTGGAAACATAATACTCTTTTCTTTTGCTAGTTATGGAGGCTAAATTGATCAACTTGTTCTAGGTATGGCGTCGGCAATCTGCTACGCCGCTTCCAAGGCGGCTTTGGAGAATCTAACGAGATCTTTGGCCTGGGAACTAGGTTAGTCACCCGCCTGCTTTCAAGTTGCGCCTTTTGCTCATGAATTCTAGGACGGTCTCTGGACGCCACTGTGAATGCGGTCAATCCTGGGCCGATTGCAACTGAAATGTAAGCGCTGCTTTGGCCGAGGTGGTTGTGGGTTGAAGGCTGACACCAACATCACAGGTGGTACAATAGTACTAATACTCCCGATTTCGAGATAACCGAGGTGGAGGAATTTGTCAAGAGACAAACCCCAGCAGGACATCGTATTGCGACGGTGGAGGATGTGAGTGCTATTGTTGCGTTTCTCTGCGACCCCAGTGCTCGATGGATCTCAGGGGCTGTTACCTGTGCCAACGGGGGGTTGGTGGCGACATGATTTGTACTGTACTATATCCGCACTTTGAGAGCTTTCAGAAGAAAGTCACATTTAAATCCATGTATCTTGAATCAAAAATAAGTTATATCCAAATGTTCGTGGAAAGTACCTCACTAACCATCCCGCTCCTTGCTTGGCACCTCGATCTAAGCGTAGCCCCAGCATCCTCCACTTCTGATCTTGATCTAAGCGCAAGCGCACTTTAGGCTTCGTGGGTGCGACCTCCACAGTCCAGCTTTTGTTTGAGAGGAATCCCGACTGAACAGCAGACCTCGCTGTCTGTCAATCCCCCGCCCCATGGACACGGCCCAGACCTGCAGACCTGGCCGATCCAATAATGTGAAACCTACGACGAGTCCGTTAGGCGCGCACTTCCATCTTGCCGTCGCCCTTGCGGTGGTATGTGCAGATTACGGTACGTACCTAGGCATATCCGGCTGAAGCTCGAGCTTGGTTGCTGAATTTGCCCGGGTATAGGAACTGTTTGCCCCTCCGGCATCATGAACAGCTATCTAAGCGCAAACACCATCCATGACCCAGCATTGCGCTTTGGATTCCGTGATGCCTTTATTGAAGGCTAGCAGCATAGATTTGCTATTTATTAGTTGAACCCCGGAGTAGGCGTCCGGAGACTATCCAGATATTGTTACTTTGAGGGCCTACTTGTCCATATTGTTGACGATCTCGTTTACTTTACCACACCCGTTCGAAATGGCTCCCAGCGTCAACAGACCGTCAGTGGAATATACTGATCCGCAGACGTTGATAAAATCCCCTTTATATTCCCGTGCAACTAGCACGACAGCCGCCGGACGATTTATTTTTACTGCTGGAATTGTCGGCTCGAAAGATGGCAAGATCGTGCCCGAGCTCGCGCCTCAAGTTGAGCAAGCATTCAAGAATCTCGAAACCACTCTCACCGCGGCCGGAGCTAGACCTACGGATATCGTCAAATTGACCTTTTACGTTGTGAACTGGAAATGGACTGAGACTGAGCAGCTCATTGAATCTTGGATGGATCTTGCGCCTCAACGTCCTGCTAGCACGCTCGTTCCGCTTCAGAAACTCTATGAAGACGGCGTCTTTTTCGAGGTGGAAGCAGTTGCCGCCATTGGAGGCACCCAGAAGCTCCTCGACCAATCTACAATTAGCGGCAGTGTCTCTGACGCTGTTCCCCCGAAAACGGTAGACGTGGTCGTGGTCGGCGCGGGTTTCAGCGGGGTGCAAGCGGCCAACGATGTGAGCAAGGCCGGTTGGAGCGTTGCACTGCTGGAAGCTACCCATCGTGTTGGAGGTCGAAGCAAGACAATCAAGCTCGCTAGCGGACCTGGTATCACCGAGCTAGGGGCGACCTGGATAATAAACGACCAGCCCAGATCTACGCGACTGCTCAGCGTCTTGGTCTGACTTGCATCGAACAGTACAACCCTCAAGATGGTGTGGGCATTTTCCAGACCAGCGACGGAAAAGTGCATCGGGCTAGGCAGAATGACAAAGCCAACACAAGTTCAAGCGTAAGTGAACGATTTGAAGAGCGTCCTGATATTATCCTGACTGATTTGATTTACCTTTAGTTGTCTGCGGAGGACATACAATCAGTCACTGCATTGCTTGAGGCGATAGATTGGCAAACCACCTCTAACAAAAACCTTGACATTAATAACACAAGCGTCTACCCGACAGCTGATGACGTCTCTTGCGAAGAATGGGTGAAGCGCAGCAAGTTTGGCGCCTACGCCGAGAAAGCCATCGGAGGCATCTGTCGGGCTATGGTTGGTCGTGAACCAAGTGAAGTTGGAATACACTACATGATGGACTATATCAAGTCAGGCGGTGGGTTTACGTCTCTAACAACCGACGATGAAGGTGGTTCGCAGTCTTTGTTTATCAAAGAAGGTATGGCCTCTAATTGTCCCCATCAAAATCCCTCCCTCTTCTGCTGACCGTAAACGTTTAGGCACCTCCGCCATCGCGCACGGGCTAGCTGCAGAGTTGAAACCGGGATCAATCTTCGTGAACAGTCCAGTCGATACCATCAACCAGCATGGATCCAACGTAACCGTTACCACCACAAACGGGACCAAGTTCGAATGCAAGAAACTGATCCTGGCGATCCCAACGAATACCTATACAAAAATTCACTTCACCCCGCCACTCCCTGCACCCAAGCGCATGCTCGCAACGAAGACAATGCCCGGTGTCTACGCAAAGGCCTTGCTCACGTACGCCAGCCCGTGGTGGCGTGACCTCGGCCTTTTAGGAAAATTCAGGAGCCATATTGGCCCCATCTGCTTTTCCTGGGAGCTCTCCTCCTTTGAGACTCGAGCCTTTACGCTAGCCATCTTTATAGCTGGAGAGCGCGCTAGGAATTGGTACCGCCTCTCCGAGTTGGCCCGACAAGACGCAATCATTGAGCATCTTGCCGAGCTGGTAGGGCCAGAAAATGCCCATCTCGCGCGAGACATACTTGAATTCAACGTTGGAAATTGGAGTGAAGAAGAGTGGTTTGGTGGCGCCCCGACCTCCGCCATGCCTCCAGGTTATTTGTCCAAGTATGGAGAGGACTTGCGTAAGCCGTTTATGAGCGTGCATTTTGCTGGCGGTGAGACTGCGCGTGAGTGGAAAGGGTATCTTGAAGGTGCATTAAGAGCAGGAACTCGTGCTGCTGATGAAGTAATTGGTGAACTGGGCTCCAAATCAAGAATCTGAGTTCCAGCTAGTTGATGCATACGGAGTCTCTGTCAACCCTATGTAGTTAACCTCATAGAATGCTTTGATGCGTTGGTAAAACTCAGGGATATATATTTCCTTTAATGGTGATCACGCCTGAAAATGTCCAAATGCGTAGTTAACTAGTCGATGAGATCGCTCCGCAACACGACAAAGCCTCGGCTCGATATCATCCAGATTGCGATACCGGTCAACAAGATATAGCCCGCTAGGTAAATAATAGGGGGGGAAAACGGAGAGTCAGAGGACCGAGGTAGACAGATACCATTAGGTATATATAACGGACGAAAAAGTCCGTTTCCATCCCCCAAAATAAAAAGAGCAAATCAATCGTGTTGCGTACGACAGCAGAACGAAAACAAACATGGGAACGGATTCATCCTTGGAAGAATACCAGGCCTTCGTGGCAGGCGTGCCAGTTCCGCAATCAGACCTCGACTTTTTCTCCACGATCCCATGCGCCCGCCCCTACCTAGATTCCAACAGCAGCTACCGAGCGATTCCATTCTTCTCGCGCTTCAAGAAGGAGGGGGACCCGCCGCGCACGTCGAGGGATAGGTTCTTCAACACCATCTTAAACTCCCCCGACACAATACCGCATCTGCTCGCTCTGGAGCGCAAGGGGGATGATAATAATAGCGATGTACTAGGGGACGGGTTGACGCTGGCCTCCCAAGACAAAATCACAGCAGGCGGGAGGGACGCGGATTTCGTCTTATTCGTGGCCCTGCGCGAGGGGCTGTGTGGCTACATGGATACCGCGCATGGGGGAGCGTTGGGGGCGCTGCTGGACGAGGCGCTGGGGACGTGTCTGGAAGGGTGTCGCAAGGCGTTTCCGGAGGATACTAGCCGGCTGTTCACTGCTAGCTTGGAGGTTTCGTATCGGGCCCCGGTCGCTGTGCCGGGTGTGGTTTGTGTGAAGGCGTGGTTGAGGCGGAGGGAGGGCCGGAAATGGTTTCTGGAGGGCCGGATCCTGGGGGAGGATGGAGAGGTCAAATGTGAAGCAAAGGCGCTGTTTCTGGGAGCTAGAGACAAGGCCCAGCTGTAAAAGGGGTTGGGAATGCCATGTATGTGTGTTTGTACTTTGGGGGAAAAGAATTAGTGATATTTGATTACAATTGGTGATGAAACTAATCTAAATATACAGTAGTTAGATATAGATTGCAAGAATTTCTCAGGCAATGCAGAGAGCCGTCCTTTGTTCCTTCACCACAAGCTCTAGCCCAGGAAGCCCAAAAACATTCTCGTCGGGATGGTCCCAAATCCAGCTCAGAGTCTCTTTCATGCGCGACGTCATTGGCATCGTGTGATCCTGTAGTAAGCTTGAAATGATATTCCGCTGAGCAGCAGTCCGAGCATTTGCACCCAGCACTACCAATGGCCAGTATGCGGTGTAGAACAATGGAGAATCCTTCAGCAACTGTAGCAGAGGCAGAGTTGCCTCGACCAAAGGTTCAACCTTCTTGGAGAAGTCCACCACGCTGACACTGCCATAGTAAAAAGACGTTTCCAAGAATACTTGTAGGGCGTTGCGCACGGCCATAATAGCTGGTATCTCGAAGACGCCGTCGGGTCCAAGTTCCAAATTCACACAGCTAATCGCATGGTCGGACCAGCTAGTGATCAGCTTATCAAGGTCGCGATACAATGCCGCGCTTCCCAGATCTTGATGTTCCCGCAGCTCTTGTTGTCTCAACAGTGATAGGAAGGAAATGGAGGGAATGGTTTCGTAGAGGGCCGACGCAGAGCCGAAGAGGACTCCAAAAGTCTTAAACTGCCGCAGGTAATCCAGCTGGGAGACGAACGAGTTGAGATTTGTGCGGATGTCCTCTTCGAGCGGTGAGAAGCGTAAACAGGAGCAGAGCTCTAGATAGGCATAAGTTTCCAGAAGCAGGCCAACTACTTCGCCTTCCAAGGGTAGTTCATTATTGGTAGTGATATGGAATGCAAACTGACGACATGCGCGAAGATGGTAGGCCATTGCTCCGCTTTTGTTTCCACTTATCGTCTGGGCTTGTCAGTAAGCGGTGTAGATAATTCTGTTCAATGCAGCGAGGAAGGGGACATACTTCATAGTAAACTAGCAGAACGGTAATCAATAGCAGTCGCACAACTTCACCCTGCGAGCCAGCAACCCAGTCTGCGATGGCGGAGTGAAGCTCCTTCATGGCCAAAATATAATGCCGGACGGCCGCTTGCTGTCTGGCTTCGTCTTGCGTATAGTAGCCCATATGCATACCAGCCAACGCCAGGACTGCGTACATGACCACGCCGTCAGATTCCGCAAGAAGTGGAACTTCGTCTTGGAAAGGGTTTTGAAATTGCGAGGAATTGCCCTTGCAAGTCAGTCTCGGGGATGTCTCTTGAATGAAGAATTGCAATAGCAAGGGTGCATCGGGAATGGAAGCCTGCGAAGGCATATTCGGTGATAACGGGGTAATGTTCCACTCGAGCGCTCGCTGCGTCGGCAGGCTGGAGATGATTGAGCATCTCCCCGAACCCTCCTTCATTTTCAAGCGCCATGCGAATTCTTTGGATCCGAGCCACGAGCACACCAGCCCGCGTTTCTGACAATTTCGACAGGCAGGTCTCTCTTCGTCACATTTCTTGCGACGCAGTCGGCAACAGAGGCACCCGGTCTTTGTTCGGCTCCGTCGGGGTTGTAATAGCATCCTGTCGATCATTTTGGAGAGTTATACGGCCAGGGCACAGCTATGTTGAAAAGATGCTGAGTTTCTTCTGCGCGACGAGTGCATTGTTTGGGATATCGTGTTGATCCAGCTGTCGTGCGCTGCGGGGAAGCCTCGAAGTCTTCGGCTTGACTGCTGGGTTAATTAGGGCCCGAGTCCGAGTGCGGGGGCTTGCCTGTGGGGGGCCTGGCCCGAAGCAGAAGCCCGAAATCAACAAGAATCGAACCTGACGATGGAAGACGCTCAACCTCACGTTTGCCACAGCTCTGGCCCAGCTTGAAGCAGAGTCCCAAAATTCAACGAGAAGTTACCCAGCCGGGATAGGGTCAATCTTTCCCCCCGCCTGGGCAGATGTGCAGGATGCAGCGTGCCTGAGCTTGCCCCATGGCCATGGGTCGAACCAGTGCCCCGGATTGTCTCTCCATCTTCTCCATCCTTGCTTCCCGAAGATATGAATCTCGATCAGCCTCCGGTTGTCGGGGCCAGCGCGTGGTCAGAGATGTGTGTTGTTGGCCCCGTTCCGGAGGGACCCTTAGGCGAGAGCAATCTAGCTGAGTTTAAACTCATAAGCTTCGGATGTCCTTTGATGCGTCTAACGAGATGCGGGATCTAGGGCCCTGTTATCACAGCCGTTTCCACAGACGAACAATCCCGTGATGATGGGCAGGAATCTAGCGCTTAGATTTGCGCTTAGATCGGTCAAACGGATTCATTTTGTTAATTGGCTTGGAGATAGGCCTCGGCTTATTGGCCATAATGGGCCTGCTGTTAGTTACTAAATTAGTGGCCAGCAGGAGAAACATTCTAACTTCATCCCAGCAACTCAACTTGCCACGAAGAAATTTCCCCGGTTTGGTCCTTTTTGCATTGTGCAAGCTAGTGGAAGCCAGTCAGTTAGTTATGCAGAAGAAGTTGCCGCCACAGTTGAGAACTAGTCAACTTAATATCGAGGTAGGATATTGGGAACCCCTACTCCGTACTCTGATAATGACCGAGTTACTGACCAGAGAAAACTATGAAGCTCGTCTGTTCGGTAGACCTCAGGGTACTTTTATGACCTACAAACCTATCCGGCCAACAGCCGGACTATCTAAGCGCTTAGCGTTTACCCCATAGTTCAATTAGTCTGGGGAATCCATATTTCTTGTCTCCCCCAGACTTTATGGATTTTTGGAATGGCCCCGAAGGCGCTTTGCTTTTATCTTCGTTTTATCCCTTTCCTTACTTTTGCTGCTGTTTTGGTTGTTGAGAACTGGTTCAACAACAGGGCGCCACCATCCCTTGATGAGAATTTCCAAATACCAGGGACCTTCTCTCTGAAAGCCCGTCGGAGTTATATAGAGTATATGCATTCCCCCAAGTTTTTCGTCTCATCAGACCTTTAATCCTTTGAGAAAATATGGCGCCATTCGACGCCGATACCAGTGACGAAAAGGGGAAAATGGACCTTCTTGAATCCAAGCCCTCGTCGGAGGCCAGGTCTGAAGCCCAAGTCGCAGAACCGGCCCCCAAAGTCCATTTCAGCGTCTCGTCTTGCCTAGGGGTGAATTTTTCAATCAGTGCAACCCCTTTGGCGATTGGGACATACCTTGCTCTCAGCATTGGAACCGGTGGTCCTCCGTTCTTCTTCTATGAGTTCATTTTTGCCGGAATCGGCCAGATAATCCTCTGCATAGCTTTGGCGGAGCTTGCATCTTCGTTTCCCCATTCCTTAGGTCAGTGAATCTCGCTTCTTGCCTGAACCAAAACGATGAAGCTAATTCCAAAAAGGTCCCGCACACTGGGTTGCTGTACTAGGCCCCAAAAGATACGCGAATCAGCTTGGATACATCATGGGATGGCTCACCAACGCATGCTGGTTTTTCATCTGCGCCGCGAGTTACCTGTTTCTCGGCCAGTTGACGATGGCGATTATTGAGGCAACAATTCCGAGTTACGCGCCCAAAATATGGCATACATACTTGCTGTACATCGGCTTCGCGTTGAATGGACTTCTTGTGAATCTTCCAGGGGCTTTCAAGATGCTGTCATGGTCGTTGAAGGCGGCGGTGTTTTTCATCAATGGGTCAGCAGTGTTTGTGTTTGTGTCCTTGCTCGCTCGGGCCAGTCCGAAACAATCTGCGAGGACGGTTTTTGTCGATGTGGTGAACGAAACGGGGTGGAGCTCCAACGTGGTGGTGTTCTTCCTATGCATCTTGCCGGGTGTTGCGGGTGTGGGCGGCCTGGATTCCGCACCGCATCTCACAGATGAGGTGGACAATCCCAAGAAGCAGATACCCCAGGTCATGATCGGATCGGCACTTCTCAGTTTTTTCACCGGGATTCCGTCAATCCTAATCTATTTATTCTGCAACACCAATCCAGAGGGGCTTATTGCTCCTGTTGGTGGACAACCCCTTATCCAACTTTTCCTGGATGCATACAACTCTAAAGCTCTCACTGTCCTGGCCGCCTTATCCGTCATTATCACGTTCAATGTCGCCGCCTGGTCTGCCTTGACAAGCTGGAGCAGGCTTTATTGGGCTTTCTCAAAAGATGGAGGACTACCATTTTCAAAGTTCACCGCAAGACTATCGTCCTCCCACAGCTTTCCGATCAACGCTCTCCTGGTCAATACCGGTTTACTCATCGCTATCGGTGCCATCCAGCTCGGGTCGACGACCGCTCTTAACGCTCTACTCGGTGGCGCAAGTCTCTGTGGCAAAACTTCCTGGGCGCTGTCTATTGGCTTGCTGTTGTGGCGTGGTAGGGATACTCTCGATAAGGACCGCTGGTTGAAGTTGGGACGTTTTGGCTATGTTATCGACGTTCTGGCTGTCCTCTGGGCAGTTTGGGTGTGCGTCTGGATTTCCTTTCCACTGTATGTTCCAGTGACCGCTCCATCGATGAACTATGCTGCCGTCGTGTTTGCAGGTGTTTCGGCTATTGGCGCAGTGTACTACTTTGTTGCGTATCGAGGAAGACAGATTTGATGAATTCTTTTCAGCTTTCAAATGAGTCCTGGAAGAGTTAGTTACATGATACTCAATATAACCAAACCTCATATTCGTTAAATTCTTTTTGAGTATCCTCACACCATATAGGGCTGTTTGGGAAATTGAATATCTATCTGAGAACTAAAAGGCACAGAAAGCCGAGTTTGTATGAATTGACACCGCTGTTTGTGGGGTTTGGGGTGTTTGGCAGGTTGGCATTGTTTGCTCTGTTTGATCACAACTCCCGGATTCGGCAAGTCGCACGTCAAGTCCATCAGATATCTAGTCGTTCAGCAGGTTTGGGATGGATGCTTCTTGATAAGATTACACCTGAAGGTGCTGAAGGCCTAAAACGCTCTCAGCCCTGACTCGGGGAACCGGTCCAGCAAAAGGCTCCTAATGACGGCTATTATCGGAGTACTGGCGGTTGCCAGGAGTGGTACCACAAGGGCATAATGTCCAGCTCAAACAACTTGGTCTCAGCAAGGCGTCCAAAGGGCGTGAAGGCCCGCCGGAAATCCCATTTAAAGCTCACCTTCCCCAAGCTCTCTGGTGATCTGGGCAATACGGAACACACCCTAAGCTACGAATGAGATTATGGTCCTCCACACAAGCTCTCGCACAGCGGGGCCCATTGTTATACAGCGGTTCTTCTCTCGCTCGCATGCTCAGCGGACCCAAAAAGGACGTATGGATCCAAATCTTGTAGGGCATGACAAAGTCCACCTTCTGGACATCACCAGCACTCTGCCAGGTAATTGTCAGTCTTCCTCTCTTTAGTCTTTGCAATGGACTCAGAGATATGGGATTGCAGGACCGAACAGATCGTGGTCCCCAAATACCCTGCGTACTCGACTTGTCCTCAACTACAAACACATTCCTTACACCCAATCCTACCTCTCATACACTCACATCTCGCCGATCTTACGCTCCTTCAATCTGGCGCCGCTCTCCAACGGTCCAGTCCCCTATACTCTTCCCGCAATAATCCATGCTCCGTCACTCCCATCCGAAACCGGCCATGCATTAAACGATAGCTGGCCCATCGCACAACATCTAGAACGCACATTCCCAGCCCCGGAATACCCTTCCATATTCCCAACTCCAGCAAGTTACCCCCTTGCCGTTGCTGTGCAAAAGATCCTCGCCAACGTCATGGTCAAAGGCATGTCGCTGCACATTCCAAAAGTGCCTAATATTCTAGAGCCGTCGTGCGCGGAATATTTTCACCGCACGCGTGCCGTCCGCTTTGGCAAATCACTACCCGACTTCGCCGCCAGAGGCCCCGATCTTGAACGCGTCTGGGCGGATATTGAAGCGGAATTTGAAACGCTTGCTGCCATGCTACGTGGTGCGCAAGCAATGCAGGCGAAGACCGGCCCTTTTTTTGAAGGGGATAAATTAGGATATGCGGACCTTGTGGTTGTTGCGTGGCTTGGTTGGTATTTCCGGAATGACCGTGCGGATTGGGAGAGACTCGTCAAAGTCGGCAAGGAAGGTGAGTTTACGAAGTTGTGGGAAGCATGCCTGCCGCTGCTAGAAGGACAAGGGGAAAATGTGGAGTTTACTATTCCGAATCTAGCAGATGAAGACGCTGCTGCAGCCGAGAATGGACCTATACTGTTTAAGCCGATGTAAACAGACTAGTATGAAATTGAGCTCCGTGGAAACCTCTTCATAGTATGCACTTTAGGCAAACATGTGTTAATCATTTAAACACTGTGGCTGCATCGCCTTTGTCTATTCCAAACTACTGGACCTTTCTACTGTACAAGAGAGACAGTTGCATGCTAAATCCCTCCCATCAAGAACCACTAACTTCCTCCGCCAGGCCCTTCAACCTCTTCCACCCTTCAGAATCCTCCCAAATGTCCTTGCCCTTCCCCAGGATCCCTCTCACTGCACTCCTAGCCTTAAACCTCCAATCTTTGGCCACCAACTCCCCCGCTCCCTGGCCACCCTCCATCTCTCTATCCATCCCCCCAAACACCGCATACCCCTTCCGCACCAACGTCTCTGTAGCCTTCACAACATCCATCCACTTCCTCTCGTCCCCCATCTGGAACGCCGCACTCGTACACGACGCCACCGTCGCCCGCCACGCCTTCTCATGCGCCGCCAGCGCTCGAGACGGGTTTCCGCGCCAGTGTTCGAGTTTCGCGACGAGAAGCCAGAGGGCCGACGAGTGCGTGATTAATGGGATGACGGAGTCGTCGACGAGGGAGAAGATGAGGGCGGGCAGGGTGCCGGGGCGGGGCTTTTTGCGGCTATCGGTATCCGTGGAGGCAGGGACGGCGTCTTCAAAGTCGTAATTTGCAGTGAGGGTGTTGATGAGGGAGGTGAGAAGGGGAATATCGATGCATTTTTCTCCGTCTTTGGACCCGCGGAGTTCGATGATTCGCTTTTGTGCGTGGATAACGTCCCGGAAGGGTGTTTGCGGGGGCGGTATTGATGCACCCACGGCTAATATATTGGCCCAAATCCTGTAGTCGGTATGTTTGAAGCGCGCTGCGCGGTGCAGAGCCGCGAGGGCATCGCGTTTGGGTTTGTATTCGTCGATGACGGATTCCGACTCTGGCTCCCCTTCTTCGTCGGCTGCTTTTGGCGCTGGTTTCTCAGGCTCCGGGGGCGGGATATTCATTAATGCGGCGGCAAGATTGCTCCAAGCTTCAGCGTCAGACTCTTCAAGTTGTACTGTTCTTGTAAACGAGGCCACTGCATCTTGCCACTTTTCTAGTTCAAGCTGGATACACCCTATTGAGAACCACGCTCCGTGATTCAATCGATTGATCTTCAAGCTCAGCTTATAAGCCTCCTCCGCTTTTTCGAACATGGGCGGTTTCTGGCCAAGGTAATACCGTGCTAATGCCCGTTGTGCTCGAGCATATCTTTGATTTGAGACTGCCCACGATCGTTCGAACATAGTATGATCTTTATCAACATCACCTAGGATGCAGAACAGCCTTGGAGCATCCACAGGTAGTGGCAAACGTTCAGGGCCTTCGAATTTCTCATTTTCATCTTCCTCCCCATGGGCCCCGGATGGATCGTAGAGTTGCCTTCTGACTATAAGTTTCGCTTTATCTTCTCTGTCGGTAGCTGCATAGCATAGTGCTACCTCTGCCCACATCTGTAATCGTTCGTAGATATCTAGAGCGGTTCTCAAGCCACCGAGATTAACCCATCTGGCAGCCAGTTCCGCCTCTAGATCCCACCTCGTAACAAAACTAAGGAGCCAAATATACTCCAGCCGTTCACTAGCAGGCGCTGATTCGGAAGCTTCGGGCCTTGGTAGGAATGTAGAGGATGGCTGTTGCTGATGTTCTTCCTCCCCAGGAAGGGAATCACTCGCCGTGTCAGCGATGACTTGGTCCACGAGAGCTTGTAGTTGGAGGACCCCACGCTCCACAGTCCTAGACTTATACCCTTCAATCCTACTCCTAACCAGTAACGCCTGCGAATAAACTTGCCAGTTCGAGCTTCCGCCTTCAAGAACACGAGTAGCGTACGGCAAAGTTTCTTCTCTGGTCAAGCCATCTTCGGGATTGGTGTTTGTAATAGCGGACGCAAGAGCAAGAAGGACGATCGAATCAAGCGGGCTCAGTTTCGGCTGGTCAGACGCATCCAAGTCCGCCAATGACTCGGATAATGCCGAGCTATCTTGAACCGTCATGACTTTTTCGCTAGGTTTCGAGCCTTCATCATCGCGTTTAAAGGAAATACTCTCCAATAGCGTATCGTCATTCAAATTCAAGTTCTTTGGTCCGGATGGCAGTATGCTTTCCTTCTTAGAGATTTGCGTTGCTGAAGAGGCACTTCCATCCTGGTCCCTGCTCTTCGCCAGAACCACCAACTGACTGATATCACGATCTTGGAACTTCGTCCTCTTCCCCAGCCTACCCGTCAGCGCAAACTCAAACCGATTTTCGCCCGCTGCGCGTTCCAAATCGGCTCTCGCCTGCGCATCAAAACCATGATGCGTATGTATCGCGGCTCTTTCCAGCAAAAACCGAACCCGTTGCTCAACACTAGCATTCGAGGATTCCCTAAAAATCTGCGACGCAAGCACATCAAGGTCCTCATAGACAACCGCCTGCAACGTATCCGTATTTTCCGAAAGCATCTTCTGATGCAAAAAATTCACCCTCAGCCTCCCCGTCACCGCCATCAGCGGCACTCCCCCCCGCCCAAGCAGCTTCTCACCTGTCAAAATCGTCTTCGCAGCGCAAAATAACTCCACATTCGGCGTCAGTCTGTACGCCGCCTCCCCATCCACGGATAACTCTCGTATCATCACATCCCGCATCCTGCGCACCACCGCAGGATCACCCCTCAGCTCCAAGGGAAAAACAACCTCTTCGGGCCAAAACCCCAGCGGCGGGCCCGTAACATTCGCCTGTAAAAACGTCAGGAGCGCAGCGTACCCGACATGCACCAATCTCGAGCGCACAGCATCCCCGCTTCCCTCGCTTTCAGCCCGCACAACAAGGGAATTCATATTTCGCCGAATGAGCTCGCTGAACGAGAGGCGCCCGTGTTTGATGTCATCTTGCAAAGATGATGAACCAGGCCCGTCTTCATGGCCGAATAATTTCTGTGCTTCGGGTAACTTCAGTACTGCAAGACATCCCTCCTCAGTCAGGCGTACGCTATCATAGCCCGATGTTGCGGGTGAGGGGCATGATGTGTACAAGGTATCAAGGGACTGAGGAAGAGGCATCTCCAGTGAAGGCTCCATTTTCAACGTAAATATGTGTGGTCCCTTCTTATCCCATCGTGCAAATGAGGTTCCAGCTGTCAAGGGAATGATGTGCCCCCCACGATGCGATAAGATCTAAAATTTTCTTATCTTATCGTGCTTAGTCACCGATTTATATTCTTGGCATCTTCCTCTGTAGCAAAATGGAAGGCGATGAAAGAGGATGTTTAACAAAGATAGAAATCTAATTTTTGGTCTATCCATAGGTATTAATCGAAAAGAAATCTGCAAACTGGTATTATCCTTGAGCTCATTTTCCATCCAACGCCAAAACATTTCAAAAGTCGTAACCATTCCAACATGCAAAAGACGTTCAAAAAGACCTCCAGAAAGACAATGAAGAAGTTTACCCGCAGGCCGTCTATCCGAACAGGGTCTATCGCTGTGGCCAAATTCGAAAAGAAAAACAGACCGGCAACCCCAAAAGAAACAAAATCGAGATTCGGTCAAGAAGAAAAACAACAGACTGGAGACGGAGATGACTCGTTTAGAAATCATCCTCGTCAGAGAAGACTTCCTCGCCGCGCTTGCGTCTGTGAGAGTAAACGTTAGTATATAAGCAATATTAGACTTGGGGCCAGAGGTAATAACATACCGAGCCATTCTATCCTTCTTCTTCTTGCGGAGTTCAGAAGAAGTAAGCTTCTTCTTCTTCTGTCCACCCTCGATCTTGTTGCCCATGGCATCGAACTTCTCCTCTTCGTCGCCCTTCTCGGTGAGACGGGGACCAGATCCCTGACCCTGCACCCAGTTGTGACCGGATGGGGTCATCTTTCCGTCCATGACTGCCCAGACCTCGCTGGTGAGGTTCTCCGTGAACTCCTTGGAGTGGGTGATGATGATAACACCACCCTCGAAGCTCTTGAGAGCCTTTGACAAAGCACCAAGGGAGTCTCTGTCGAGGTAGTTGGTCGGCTCGTCAAGGACGATCAAGTGAGGACGCTGCCACGAGCAGGCAGCAAGAACGACCTTGACACGCTGACCACCGGAGAGACCGCGCATGCGGGAGTGGGAGACCAGCTCAGCGTCGAGACCAAAGTTGGCGCAGTGGGCCTCGATTTCCTTGCGGACCAGGGGACGGAATTGACCGCTAGCAAGGGCTTCCTTCTGGTCGACCTCAGCCACCATCTTGGCGTGGGTGGCGAGAATCTCAGTGCGAGGAATCCAAGCGTTGTCGGCGGTCATCATGGGAGTCCACTTCTCGTTCTTCTGGCCGACGTTTTCACCGAGAGTGAAAGAACATTCGTACTCGTACGAGTTCTTGAACTTGCGGCGCGAGTGGATACCGATAACACGACGCTGAGAGCCCTCGATCCTGTAGATCTTGTCCATGGCCTTCTCGTCGTCCTCAGTGACGATCTTGTTGGCTCGGTCCATTGTTTCACGGTCCTCGCCAGTCTGGAAACGCCACTGGATGTACTCGGAGGGGGTCTTGTCCAAGTGGTTATCGATATGCGCAAACGCGTGCTGTTTGATGTACGCGATGCGAATGTTCTCGTGCTGGTAAACATCACCCGCGGTGGGGATAAGTTCACCCAGTCAAAACGTTGACCAGTGTAGATTTACCGGCACCGTTGGGACCGATGACGGCAATCCGGGAACCGAGAGAGCACTGGAAGGTGATGTCCGAGATTTGTGGCTTGGACGTGCCAGGGTACTGGAAGGACATGTTGCTGACGCGAACAATGGCCTTGGCCTTGGTCTTGACACCCTCGAGGAATCCTGGCTCTGGGAACTTGAACTCCATCTCGGAAGCATCGAGGTCGAAGTAGGAGCGGGCCGACGGCAGCTTCTTGACGAACTCGGTCAGGTTACCACGGTAGCGGCGGAGCTTGAACCGCTCGTAGTGAATGACGTGCTGGATGACGTTGTTCAAAAAGCTGCTGTCGTGGGAAACGATGATCGACGTGCATGGGGAGTTGATGAGGTACTGCTCGAGCCAAGCAACATTCTTGACGTCAAGATGGTTGGTCGGTTCGTCGAGCAAGAGGATGTCAGGCTCCTCGAAGACAGCGCGAGCAAGAGCGAGCTTCATCTTCCAACCACCAGAAAGGGAAGTGATGGCATTTTCGAATTGTTCTTGCAGGAAACCGAACTCGAGCAACTTGGCTTCGATCTCCTCACGAGGGGTGGAGATACCAACGTCGCTGAGCTTCTTTTGAGTCCAGCCAATGACAGTCTGCTCAGTGTCGGCAGCATCAAGGTCGTGTTCGACGAAGACAGTCTTGACTTCATCCTTCTTGGGGAAGCCCTCGACTTGCTCGTTGTTGATGGCGCGCATGAGGGTGGATTTTCCGGAACCGTTAGGACCGAGGAGACCATAGCGTTGGCCGCGCTTGAGGCGGAGATGAGTCTGGTTGAGGAGGATCTTGGCACCATAGGCCAAGTTGAATGTGCAGTTGCAAAGGTCTTCACCTTCCTCTTCATCTTCTTCCACTTCGGCTTCCTCACCAGCACCAGGAGAGGCACGCTTGCGGAGAGTTTCAGCGAGTGGCTTGGCATCAGTCTCGCCGACGATGGCACCAAGGTAGGCAAGAGTGTTTTCGGTCCAACTGGCGACGTCAGTGACCTTTTCGTCGATGAGCTGACCGGCAATCGCGGCAATGTATTCGATGGTAGCCTCGAACTTGGGAATGGAGGCCTTGTGCTTGGGCTCGAGAATCTCCTTCAAGATTCCGGAGACGGTGGAGATGTCACCAGCAGTAGAGACTTCGGGGATCTTTCCATCCTTGACATCACCAACGCGAATCAAAGTGTCAAGAGCCTGCTTAGTCTTCTCACGAGCCTCAGGGTCGGCAAGGGTATCAAAGTTTTTGTTCAAAGCGGGCATGAGCTTGGGCAAGAAAGCAGCGACAATCTGAGGATCCTCAACAAGCTTGCACATGTTGTCGATGATGACGGCGGATTTACGCTTGATCGCGGTTTCACGCTCAGTCAGACCACGGTCAAGGAGAGGAACCATGATGGCAAGAGTGGGCTCATGGACATCAGTGACGAAGGTGGTGGCACCCAACAGGTGAACGGTCTCGGGGACGTTCTCTGGCTTAGAGATACATTTGATGAGTTCGGGGATGAAGCGTTCGATATCCTTGTTGACGATGAGGCCGCAGACCTTCTCCATGGTGGCGTAGGCAGCCTTCTTGACTTCAGGCTTGGTGTCCCACATCGATTCGGAGACGACTGGGATTAAGTCTGGCACACGGTAGGCGAGCTGAACTGGAGCAGACTCGACGAGAGATTCAATGCACTGGAGGGCAGTGATCTTCTCGGCCCACTTCTGAGCATTTTGAAGAGAGCTGATGATGGCGGGAAGGGCAGCCTTGACAGCGTTAGGGTTGATCGACTTTACGATGGCGAGAGCGGCAGCTTGAGCAAGGTTCTTGACCGAAGTCATCTTGTCGCTGACAGCCACCAACGAAGGGCCGAGGAGGGAGAGAAGGTATGGCTCTACAGCGGGCGACACTGTGGAGTGGTTGGCGATGGCCGCAATGGCATCGAGGGCTTTTTCACGGGCAGCGGCATCTTTCTTGTTGGCCAACTGCTTTTTGAGCGACTCGACGGCTCTAGAGAACGGCTGTTAGCATCCAGGTGGCCAAACTGCTTATTGAGGCGTAGCAGACTTACTTGACGGGGAGAACTTGTTCATCTGTAGGGCCGTTCAGCAGAGAGGCGATGTTATTCGCAGCAGCTCTGGTCTCAGCCTCATTCTTGGAGACGGAGAGGGACTTGAGGAGTTCCTCGAGGACGGTGACCGACTTGGCGGACTCGTTGATGGAATCGATAGCAGGCATTTTGAAAGTGAGGAAGAATGAACAACGAAGAAAGGGTATTAGATTAAGAAGAGGGTATCTTTTTTTCTTTCTGACGGCAGGAAAAAAACTTTTTTTTCAAAAGAGCAACTCGCGTCGCCCAAGTGATAGCGAAAAACGCAGTAGGTCTATTGAACCCTTGGTCTATTCCGTAGCAAAAAGAGAATGAATCTAGAGATGAAAAAAGGGAAGAAAGGGAAGAGGGTGAAAATACTGAGTGGAGATGGGAGAGAGAGAGAGAGAGAGAGAAGAAGAAGGTCGGAGGTGGAGCGGGCTGAAAGAGGTTTATATGGCAGACGCGGTGCGCAATTCTGGTCTGAAATTTTGTGCACGAAAAAAAAAAAAATTTCGGATTTTTGGCCTCAACTGTGGGTCCGCCGCCCCGAGCAAACCGGTTATCAGTGCCCGCTAGGCCGGATGCTGCCTAGTCGCTCGGCAATCCAGGGACTAATCGGGCGCCGCTGATTGGCTGGGGTCTAATTACATCAGCAAGTGGTAATTTTAGAAGCTGAGTCATGCGAGCTCCGGCGTGTGATTGGACCAACGCAGCCACTGTGCTGGTAAGATTACAATGCCAGCCACAGTGCGTTTCAGGGGCAAAGTGGTTATTCCTCCGCCGGCCACGAGCGAAGCCCGGAAAATTTGACTGGACGCACGCTGGAAATGCTGGCCAGGTCGCTCCGGGTACTGTAACAGAGGGAGGCCAGGGAGGACCTCGCGCTGCCTGCTCTGAGCCACGGCTTCTCGGTCGAACCACCCCGGCTCTGCTCTGATTTTGCCTCCTGGAGCGGGTTCCAACTTCCAACCCCAACAAACTCCAGGAAAACTTTTTTCTCGTGTCAAATTTTCTTTTTCTTTTTGCCTGGAGTCTCAGCTGCGGGTACGGCCTCGTTACGTACTGGTACCCAACGGTACTTGCAGGGGACCCTTTCCGTCGATCCTTGCAATAGGGCTGCTCACACCCAACGAGGACCCGGGGAAATTATCGCTGTCTTGCCTGTCCTGCAATCACAGCCACCCGTGCCGCCCAGACATGTGAAGGCGGGTTTCAGCCTCCTGCTGGAGATGGCCATCCAGCCATCTTTCAAGCTTCAAAGCTGCGTTCTAGATCTGCTCAACAACATGAAAGCACAGGTCGACTCCGTCCTTAATCCTTATCCCTTATCCCCCATACTTTGAGGATCGTTTATCTTTGTTATCGCGCTCTCCTGCATGCCGATCCCCCTCTGTCACAGCAAACCCAATCTGTCTCACCGCCTTGGTCCGTGGGAGTTGGACCCGTCTGCCTGCATAAATTCATCTCGGGGTCGGACCCCTTTGCAGAGACGATTTGGACCCAAGGAAGTCCGTTTCAACCTGGTACGGCTTGAGTGAATGGCTTGGTTCCATGGGCTGCGAATCGAGGTGCCTGAAACGATGCTTGGTCAGAGTTCTTTGTGGTGCCTGCGTCAGATCAGCCCGTCATGGAAATCATTCCATTCCTTTAGAGAATTGATGATTCAAGGTGACTGTCGAATGAACCGGATGCTTCCATCACCCTCAGTGATATCAGACACCTTTCCTTTGCTTTCCAAATCATAATACCCAGGAGAATTTGCTAACCCGCCACTGTGCTCTTTGATGTTGCCTAGTGTGATGATCTTGGCGTGTTTGCATCCTTTTATCCGCTGAGTAACCCAGGTTATGCAAACAAGGCAAAATCTCCATGTTTGTTCGATAAGATTTGTTTGCATCGCCACCACTGGGCTTCCGCAATAGCCATACTCGAGTCCGTGCCTGTGAACAAAGCTCCAAGAAAGAATAACCTCAGTGCCTGTTTGGATTTCTTAGCCTTCTAATGCCATGGTCATGCATGTTTAGATGGGGCACGAATGTCCGTCGAACGACCTCCGGGAGTGAGAATGACTCACAGCAAGAAGAGCCGTCGGAACAAATTGGATAGTATGCTCCGTATGCAGTAATCTCTGCAGGCTCCCTGGGCAGATACCCTATAAAACCACATCGCTTTGAAGTTTGGCGAATAGAGCTGAAAGTCTAGCCCGGTGCTCATATCTTCAAAATGAGGGAGATATGCCGAGTATCGGGCTCAAAAAGCTGAGTGTTTACAGCGTCAGATGCTAGGATTATTGTTAGCCTTCAATGTACCCACTGACAGCTGAACTACTTGTTTCTCGAGTTCATCTACTCACTGAAAACAACCTTGTCCCGACGGTGGGATTACGCACATATTTACTCTGACGTGAAACCGGGCCAGCCTCGGAACATGCCCGCACGAACTCATGGGGCACATCCAGCGCTGCGAGTGCGAACCACAGGGAAGCATCTACTTATTTTCGAAATTTAAATCAGTCATCTATATTCTAAGCCATACTTAACCCCGAACGCAGGCCGTTAACTTTTTCCCAGAGACGAAAACCAAGTCCTCCAATCACTCGCTACACCCAGATCTCCCATCCCCTCTTCAGTTAGTCGATGTCAACTCCAGAAGCAAGCATGCGGCCGGGCCACATCTCCCTTCGGCCTCCAAAACGCCCAACATATCGTTATCACTCCTTTAATCCCCGCTGCTAACCATAGCGAACAAGATAGCCCCACAAGTTTCGTCAACCCGCCAGAGAGCATCGCTCCACTAAACAGTGCCAACGCAGTAGCTATGCGGCGATTCCGCACAGGATTGACCTTTGTGACCAAGCGCGGATCGATGAGCAGGTCCGCAAGCACGGTCGTCAGCACCACCGTAGGTATCTCTTCAACTTGCACCATTCTAGACGTCACGATCTGGCCAGCAGCTTGGAAAGCTAGCAGGGTAATGGGCACCATTTGAAGCCAGTGGATGCCTTTGTTTGACGCAGCGATTTGGGAGTCGACTACACCCGTCTCGACGAGGATGCTCGATGCCAATATAGCGGCGGTCTGCAGTGTGAACGAGGCGAGAAGCGTCGAACGACGGAGAGGACCAAGCAGTCGCGACGCAATTGTGAAAAAGAGAACGGCGGCGATGAATGTTGCTATGGCGATGAGGGACTTTGCCCATCGCAGCTGTGGTTCTGGAGGCTGCCCGGAAACTCCAAGCGCGAGAAAAACGACGTTTCCTGTTACATAAAATGTGAGGTTCTTGTTGCAATCCAGTCATACCCGGGAGAGATGTTTCAAAGGCTGTATGCTTACCTGTTTGCATACTGGCAAAACTCCCCCATGCATTGAACGCTGCGCTATCGATTACCCCCGAGATAAACGAACAAACAATGAGAATTAGATCACTGTTTCCAGTATCTATTTGCTCCTGAAGATATCCTTTGACTCTTGCCGTTATCGAGAATTCTGATAATGACGCAGATTCATCGACGGCTGTGAAGGAAGAATAGGCAGAGATTGCTGGGAGTTCATCTAGTGCTCCGCTGGATCTGGGCAAGCCAAGTTCAACGTCCCCAGGGGGCTTGTCCGTGGTCGATGAAGACGCAGGTTGTTGAAAAGTCACACTATATTTTTCAGGAGACATGTTTCAGCCAGAGCGGGCTATAGGGCGATGAAAGGCTTTATCCCCGTTTGGCGGAAATGGGAAGCGGGCGACAGCCGGATACTCAAATTTATATGTTCCAACAGATTCGGGACAGTCACCGCCCGTGCGGCCTTGAAAATCGCGGGAATACTGCCCATTCCCGGGGCCACGCAGTCGCCTTTACTGGTCAAGTTGGCAATCGTGTTTCTGCGTGGTGCATCAAGACAAACGCTTCCAGGTGATCCACGGGAGTTTTCGTGAGTAAACGACTGCCGTTCAGCAAAAATATCAAAGGGGCCGCATCACCCATGGCCAATCCGGAATGCTTATTGGTAGAGCAAGACTCCTTCTTGACCACATATGGAGCTCGAGATTGAGCGACCCTGATGTCGTCGGCGCCTCTGGCTTGAGCCAAGCTCTCGGCGAAAAGATTATTCTTTCCCACTCCGCCGCACGCTTATCAAAGTTTTCTTTTGGCAATGAGATTCCGTCAACGAGTTCGCGCCTGTCCGCCGATCTACTCCGTATCAGCGGAGGGAATATCGCAAGGTGACACGAACGACGTTCACAGCCCCGGACGACTCTTGGCTAAGTGGGAGCAAGTACGCAACCGCAGCTCCTCACTGTAGCGGAGGGGCACGGGCAGCATGGCGGCTTTTTCTTTGTTATTTCCCTCGCTTTCACCGTACAGCTCCTAGTGACCAAGCAAACCCCCGACAAGCAACGACATAAAGAGCCAGATACCCCATTAGAAAAACGCTCAAAGCTGATATCCCTCCTGAGTCCACGACGCAGTAACAAAATAAGCTTAACCCCCGTCAGCCCTCCCTTCGATGATCTTTCCCGCTTTCCGCCAGGCTATCGGAACGTTGGGCCAACTAGCACGGGCGGGCCGGATCTTGGCGCGGTGCCAAGCCCACCGGGCGCCCCCCCTGATCAATCGGAGGCCGGCGAGGTCGAGAATCATGCAGGTTCAGAATGTCTCGGCGACCGCAGGCATGGGATTCTTCTCTCTTTGAAACTTTGGAGCTGCGTGGCTGGTGGGAAAAAGGAAAGGAAAACTCGCTCCTTGTGTGAATCACACTGCCACTGTCATATTGATTTGTGCCCAATGAGCCGAAGGAGCAGGCTGTTTGGATTTCGTCGCTCAGGCCCTCGTCAATTTTTTAACCCAAATCGATAGCTTTTCGTATGGAGATATGGCGACCGGCTCCTGCATCGACATTTGGCTCACATCACAGAGCATTTCAGTCACTTTTAGCCGCTTATGTCTCTGAATCCTTCCGAGGACTTTGGCTTCATGTCGGAAAAATTTGTGTCAAGCGAACAGCCGACCAAGGACACCGCCAACACCTGCAAGGGTTCTCATCATCGACTAAGAAATGGAACCACGCCTGTTATTCTCTTTGTGCTTCAGGTAATCATCCCGGCCTTCAGAATAATCGAAATACACAGTCGATACCGTCTGTCCATCAATGAGCACATCAGTCCAAGCCTCTGGACACTTCAAGTCTTCAGACTGACAAAACAGCCTTTCCTAATATGGTGGTCTAACCTAGCACACAGACACTACCTGGGAAGGCCCTCCTGGCATACTCGGAACGGGTGGAACTTCAATTACCTCTGGAGGGATATCCATGCCCGTTGCCTTTTGGAGCTCGGTCGAATTTAAAGGATTCCCTTCATTCCAAAGGGTAAGATGACAGGATTATCGATATAGGACTGAGCGGCTGCATCCCACTCCTCTTGGATACAGTCATATGCCGGAGATTTCTCCTCCTTGGGCTTTTTGATGTGCAGTTGTTCTTCAAGCGATAAGGAGGACTTGGGTGGTGGGACGCCTGGAGGGACTGTTTATAGACGTTTGGAATTCAGGAGAGGAACAAATTTGATAGTCGACGGCACTTGGAGAAGGCCAGCAGGAATAATTATATTGGAAGAATATGAGGATATGAGTCTTTCTTATATGAGGGAGAAGCATAGAGGGGAGTGATGGGTGATGGAAGGCAGTCAATGATTCATCATTAACTCACATATCTAGACTCATGAAGTGGCCTCAGTAAACTCAGCTTCTCTACTGAAATCCTGACCTCATCAAGGGACACATTCATCCTTTATTGATGGATAGTCTGTGGCCGTAAGTGTCTGTCTAGCTGACGCCATTTGTTGTGTTGAACATGTCTCATTTCCCAACCCCGACTTGAACGAAAATATCAGCCAAACTTAGCTTCCAAGAATCGTACATACATTGGGGCAGGAGGTACACAGAAGCGGAATCTCATAAGTACAGTCAAAACCAACAAACCCCGGTCGTTAATAACACTAGCATACGATGTTAGCGCGGTGTGTTCGAGCAGAAACCGACAGCTATCACAGATCAATCCAGTCGTTCTAGTCACTGTCACTGCTTGAGTCGGAGCTACTTGAGCCGCTGCCACTACGCTTCTTGTACTTCTTATGCTTCTTGTCCTTCTTGTCCTTCTTCTTCTTCTTGTGCCTATAAATGAAAACCCGCGTATCAGCCCACGTCCTCGGGATACCAACCATGGTTATGAAAACCTGTCAAAATGGCGACACTTACTTCTTCGCAGCATGTCCCATGACATTGGCACCAGCAGCACCCAGGGCTGCGCCGCCCAGGGTTCCCAGCATTCCACCACCAAGCTTATGTCCCGCAAATCCACCGGCGGCACCGCCCAGCAAGGTGGCGCCTAGCCCCTTTTCGCCATCTGGCCCTCCCAGCGCGCCAGGCGGCCCCTGGGGACCACCGGGTTGGCCACCGTACGGGGCCTGGTATCCCCCGGGGTACTGTTGGTTATAGTACGAGTTGCTTTCTCCTCCTCCTCCTTGCTGGGGATATGCGTTGTAGACCTGACCACGGTTATCGTAGCTTTGTTGTGGTTGAAGCGGCGGTGGAGAGCTAACGCCGTACGGCTACGTGATAGCAGATTAGCAAGGGTGTTCGTGCCGTGCTTGTTGGGCAATGGCCTACCTGCTGCGGCGGTTGCTGACCGTAATATCCAGACGGAGAACCCTGCGGTTGTTGCTCATATTGTCCCGGGTAGGGAGGTTGTTGGCCGTACTGCTCCTGTCCATAGCCGGTAGCAGGAGGGTAGTAGCCCTGCTGTCCGGGCGGCGGCTGGCCGCCATAGGGAGGTTGCTGCGGCGGGCCACCGTAGTAGCCAGACATGATGGTTGGTTGCTTTTGAAGAGAACGAGTGGGATTCACAGGGGGGGGATTCACAATCGAGCAAGAAGAAACAGAGCCCCTTTAGAGAAGCAAGACCATCTGACCCGTCCCGTGAGTGAGTCGGTCGTCTGATGATATGCTGCCGCCTTCCCAACAGCGACGGAGCGGCGGAAAGGCTGAGCCACCGCTAATCAGTGGGCGGGGTAGCCAAAAGCGGCAAGTGGGTGGCTTGTTTCAGCGGCTGAGCTGCCAAGTCGCGCTAGTTACCTCATCTGCTCTTTGAGCCAATCAACGTTGCTGCCAGTTTCTTGGCTCCGTGGCTAAGCTTTTCGTCGTTCGTCTGTCCCTGAACATGAAAATATCCTACGGGGTGTAGAAAGGCAAACGGAAAGCAAAATTCGGATATCATTAGGTCACTAAAGTAGACTGCCTGATCCGGCCAATCCTTGCGTGATCAGTATGCAAAAAAGGATTCTAAGAGATTCGCTCGGAGGAGAGCATTTTCAACCAAGTCAATCACTCCTCAAGACAGTCGCTAGGAAAGAGGCAGACACACCCAGAATGAACAATCGCATCATGCCAGCAACAGCAGAAGAAGTCGCAAAGTGAAAAGGTAGTGCAGCGTGACATAGGCCGTACAATCAAAAGAAATGTATGTTCATTGCCATCATGACGGAGCTGAACCGTCTCTGCAGACGCCAAAGGTCACTGACAACAGAAGAGAAAAGAATATCCACATGTATCCGCTACACAGATCGGACGAAGCAGTCATAATATCAGGAGTATTAGATCGTGGAGAATCCCGCGTTTGTTGACGAGGTCGAAAACTTGGATGCGACATTCGATGTTCAGATGTAACACTCCGCAAGACATAGCCAGAGAGACGGGGTCAATCACCAATCTTGGCCACGATCTTGCATCAGAATCTCAAGCGCTACTTCCTCCGGCACTGGGTCCTGGTTCAGATCCTTAACGCACTCCATCAGGCCCTCCGCGGCGGCGTCTACTTGCTCAGCGGACCACCCTGTACATGCCATGACCATGCGCCGGTACTGTTCGCCAAGCACAACGTTTTTGGATTTGAGGATTTCAATCTCCTCGCCAATACTTTGGTTGTGTTCCTCATAGGCCCCGAGAAACGCCTGTAGTTTCTCAACAGAAGGCTGTTCAGAAAGGTATGCACGCTGTTCGTCAGAAAAACCCGTGGAGGCATCGAATGTTTCTGGGAACAGGGTATTGAACCCATCCAGGTCGAATAATGGCGTTTGCCTTGGATCGTCGCCTACGGGATTGTCGCTAGGTTCTGCATCTTCCATTTCCTTCAAGGTTGCAGCAAGCTCATCGGCTGATTGTTCAAGATTGCGCGTCTGTCTCTGTAGCTCGATGCGTTCGCGAGATGTTTTCTTTAATTCATCCAGTTCATTCTGCTCTATTTGCCGGAGTTTAGCGCTTTCGCGTATCTTCGCGTGCCACTGGTCAAACTCTTCTTGTTTTTTGCTCAGGTCATCAGATAGATCTTTATCCACCATGTTAAATGACTGCTCGATGGCAGAGGTGATTTGTGCAAGCGCAGCTATTTCAAGTTAGTACACAGCTCATAGTTTCATCGAGGGCAGCAAGACTCACAGCTGAGAATATCCTGTTTTGTTCTTGCAAGTTGGGTACTAAACGAATCGTCTGCATCGCCATTCTGCAGACCCTGGCCGCCGCTACTAACCATATCGACACCGACGCCATAATCGGCTGGTCTTAGCCCCGTATGGTTTGGTATGTGAGGACTTGCACCGACTTCGAGGAGTTGAGGAACGAGAATTGTGCGAGCCCTTCCTGCGAGGTTTAATGCAGTATCTCCTTGGTCATCCTGGATGTTAATCATATCTGACATAAACCTTCCTAGGCCTATTACTTCCGTTCGTTGAGGGTTCCTAAGGCTACTGGCGCCGTTGGCGGAACTTTGTTGGCTGTTTGATGGGCCTCCATGGCGTACTATGAACTCGAGCAGACACTCCAGATAATGCTTTGCTGCAACGTGACCATCGCCTCCTGTCGCAGCCATCATTGCAATATGGTGCAAAACTGTCCGTCCGTGGTGATCGATTATTTCAATAGTCGCGGCGAGAACCTGCAAGAGCTTTGAAAATGTTCGATAATCAAGATTATTCCTTGTGCCAACAGCTTTTTGAAGGGCCGTTTCACCAGCGGCGTTCAGGCGATATATGCTTACTCCTTTGGCAACTAGCGCATGGACAAGTGGTAGGCGCGCAAGCATAGCAGCCCAGTGTAAGGCACTATTTAGGTACTCGTCAAGTGGGATCTCTAAATCCTCGCTAGTTAGTGTGAGAAAAGCTGGATGAGTCGAGAAATCTTTTGCGCGCTTGTCGAGGAATAGAGTCATGATGAGCTTCATTTTCTGATATCTTTCCGGAGTAGTGGCAGCTGCTAGGGGCTTCAGCCCATGAGTATAGTCGTCAGTTGCATCTTCCTGCGCTTCCAGCGGCCTGTAGAACGATTCACTAGGCTCAGTTGGGGTAGGCTCATTTAAAGCATTAAATGAGCGCATCTGCACAGAGGATGATGATCGCATTCGTTTTCGGGGGGGCTCTTGGGTCTCTTCTCCATGGTCTACGAGACTTCGCTGGCTAGGTTGTAGGTTGCTCGCAAAGCCACTATCCGAGGCAACACTGTACATACTCTTTTGGCTACCAAGAGGAACATGCGATTCCTGGCTACTCATTTGTGAAGACCTCCTTATCGCACTAGGCTGTCGACTATCGGGTCCGCGGCTGGCTGGAGAATCAAATCGTGCTTTATTAATGGCGCTCACTGCGCTAGCGGCAGTGCGCGAAATACTTTGAAAAAAGGTTCCCTGCGAGGAGGAGTTTTGGCTATCCATGCCATAATAGAGCCGTTTTCGCTGAGCCGCCATAGCTTGTTCCTTCGTCGGGGTGTCTGTTGCTCCATGTCCGGCTTGACTTACGCCGTCCTGGCCCATGTCATACTCGAGTAGAGGGCGTAAGAGGTCCTCCACATGGTACCGTCGACAGAGCTCCACGCCTCTTTGGTAACTGACCCAGGTTCCTTGATACTTTCCGTAGCCACCCTGGACCTTTTCATGCTCACCGGAAGCGACCTCTTTTTCTAGAGTTTTGGTGCGCCGGGCTTTAACCACCCCTGCAACTTTGAGAATCTGGGTAGCATTCAACCACGAATCAGAGCGCCGTCGCATTACCGCAACTCCATTGACTTCCATTTCATATACGGAGACGTTGGAGTAGACGGCCTAATTAAAGTCAGGAGGAGCCAGAATTAGCCATTATAGACACTGGATATTTAGGAGAGAACAACGAACCGTGTAGATTTGGGGCTTATAGTTTCTACCGTAAGGTGCATGTCCGCCACCGTCTCCATACCCCCCAAAGCTGCGAGCTTCCATCAACCTACTGCCTATAGCATTGTTTGAGAAACTCATAGACACGTTGGATTGCTGGGAGGCAGAAGGCGGCGGAGAAGCGGCTGGGGCGGAGGCTGCAGGCTGAGGAGCAAAGGAACCTCTGTGCGATTGCGACAAGGCCGATCCATTAGGTGGAGCGACGCTACTCTGCGAAGCCGACATAGATAGAGCGGATCTGAAGTGATTAACTAAGAGTCGAGGTCATCCGATGGGCGATGGAGCTGAGGCCTTGCGATTGGCTGAATGCAGCATCAAAGTGTCAGCGATCGGGCGTGAAGACAACGAGGAAGATTCCACAACTAACAGGGACTAGGAACTGCGGGTAGTTAGCAAACACATTGACCATGCTGGTGGGAATGGCTTGCAGCGGAGCGGATGATTGTCCGCACAGAGACACACACTCACACACACCGCTGTCAAGTCGGGAGTCAAGTCGCGACACTGACGCTCAAATGAAGAAGAACCGCGTGGTCACGTTACTCCGCCATGGCTTGATCACACGCAAAGGCCGGTCGAGGAGGAGCATTCACAACCAAAGCGCAATGAACCGAATCCGGGTCTTTCGGGCATAAAGACATCAATTGTAACTTGGAGCAGACGGTCTTCCGGCCTTCGTGCCTGTCATCGCGCGGGGTTGAGGGCAAAGTGAGTCCTGGATGAAGAGCAGACCACCGAACTCAATCTTTTCGCGTCTTCCCGCGTTGTTTGACTAAGCAGCTTTTTTTGGCCAGACGACCTCGCTCAACACGCCGGTCAACACAGGATAGCGGATGCTGGCATTTTCCCATAATGGCGGTTCCCGCGGTGTTGTCCACTCGTTCTACCCCATGGCGACATCTATACAGATCCCTTGTACGGGAATGCACATACCTCCCCGACCCGGTCGCGATGGATTATATGCGCGATTACGTCCGCTCGAGTTTCCGAGAGAACATTTCAGAAGCACGCATACGCGGTATCACACAAATTAAAGAATTCCATCTCCACAGGCGTGGCCGAAAATTGCTCTCGCTTCTTCATCGCGCCAATGAGGGATACCTAAAGGCTCTCGAAAAAGTCCTCCTCCTTGCATATGGCAGAATCGGAAAACGCAGGTACTTTCTTATGCGACCTTTGCTTCCGCCGCAAACGGTAATTCAAACTTTCGATGACAACTGGCAACCTCCCAGCGCCCTTATGACGCTATTGAAAAGCCAGTCCAACCAGCGAACGGTCACCGAGCTAGGAATGCGACCGGTTATCAAATCATTCGAACCCCCGATCCCCAAAGAGAACATCTGGGGAAGGCCTATTCCGTATAAACGGCGTGTGAATATTCGGCGGCGATGGTATCGTTTGCTGATAGACAGCTGTCTTCCAATACTCCCGGGGCAGGACTGGGGCGTCCTTCACGATTTAGCTACTGGAAAAGGACCGTGGACTCTTCCAAAACGGAGAAAGACCCTGGCGGTATCTCAACCTACTACGTTCCTTACACCCGAGTTCCTTGTCCATGGGCCAGCCAAGGGTCCCACGTTCGAGATGTATTCCAGGGGCAGGCCTCACAACATCACCCGAAGGCTTATGGAGAAGTTGTGGAGAAAAGTGTGCGCACTAACACCGACAATGGTGTGGGACGAGCCGAGAGATAGATGGGCAATTCAATGGGGCATGATTGACGCTCCCCGGCGGATCTCTGCGCACAAGCTTGATAGAGAGAAGGGAATTGCTCTGTTCGAAGGCGTTGACCCGAGAACAGGACAAACATCGCACGTGAACCGGGCTGCTGGGTAAATCGACCCTAAGTACCCATATCATCGCTTGTCCTGGTTGATTCAGATACATTCCAGACAAATCATTCGCTATCAAGTGAGTACCATTACACCAAAGGCTTCTACCTGGAGAGCTAATACTTGACTTGAAAGGTAAAGTTCTCAACTTTACTTTGATTGCTACTCGATTTTGCGTTTAAACATTCCACAGAAGCTCTCAAATAACACATGATCGAACCCCTTGACCCATCTCACGATTACATCGACATTCTCAATCCCTGTCTGTCGCACATGGATCAACACACCCAAGGCAGCCTTGCTTTCATCGATGGGCGGCGATGAGTCCGCTGCATTTTCGATTCGAGACATAAAATGTTGTTGCTTCCTGCGCGCTTGACGTGACCAGACATTCTCCGTTGCAAACCCAAGGCCCTTGCATGAGTGCTGATTCCATCTCCAGACCATGCGGAGAGCTTGCATTTCATTATTGATCCTACGGATGAGAAACGTGATAGACTCGAATTTGGGCTGGAAAGAAAATTCTGACGGGAATGGGAGGAGGTGCTTTGGAATACTGGGAATATTCCTCGCAGCATCCATTGGCGGCCTCAGGTCCTGCCATGACCAGGCGATGGCCCATCTCCGCGTCTTTGAGCCTGGCACAAATTCTGTCACAGCCCAATTCTGATTACCGGCTTCCTGCAGCTTCTCGACAAGTGTTGTGACGCTGCTCAATTTTCCGAGCATTGAGCTGTACCATTGGACGTTGGTGCGGAGTTTCACGCTCTCTTCGATCATCCTGCTAACAAACCTTTCCTCTCCACCAGTTGTGACCATTTCCACTGGCGCTCCGGTACATGCCTTGAGTTTTGAGTTGGTCATAGTGCTTTAAATCCGCAGAGGACCCTTTTGACGTACCGAATTAGGAGGACGGTGCTTCAAGTTTGCCGAAGCCATCATTTCCTCCTCGGATTCATAGAATGGGGGATTACACATTGTGAATTGCAGTCTAACTATTTTAGCCTGGTATTCGCTAGGTTTCAGAGCTCGCAACAGGTTTCTTACGTCTCGAAGGGTATTTTATCGCCCAAAGGTATCAAGAAGTCTGCTTGTGTCGTCCGAACAACATGGATGCGACTTTGCAAGTCGTTTCGCTTCACATTTTCTTGGGCTATTTTGATGTTGTCGTCATCGATATCTAAGCTTCATCAGCGTACAACATCTAGCAGCCAGGTATCATGCAAGGAGTCAAGTGGCTAGGCTAATTAGGGGCGCTTTTTATGCGTATTTCGTCGAATGGGAGGTTGGGCAAGAATTTGGAATGGATATACCCGTGGCTGCAAATTTCCAATTTGGTCTTTGCGAGCATGCAAGCAATGGGTATATACAACTTGCCCCCGTTCCACTATTATATGCTACATTAGCGCACTTAACACGAAATGGCTGTTAAGCATCAATAAAGCGGAGAACCTTACATATCTAAACCAACAACTTCCCGTTCCGGGTCATTTTGGTCACAGTAGCTACCGTTGGTAGTATCAATCAATTCCTGTAACCAAAGAATGTAGGCAAGTCTGAACATGCGCGTCAGTCAAGTGCCCCGTCAACAAGACTCTTTGAAATCCATTATGACGATCAAGCACTCCGTAGAGGCATACTTACCGATTAGGAACCTACACCGAAACAGCATTCATTAGCCAGAATTTACTTTCCCCATAGACAAGCTCATCTCGCATGAAACATGTGGCATGTGGAGAACGCGTACAGGCGGACATAGTCGATTGTCCGGTAACTCCAGGTTCAGCTTGAAATCTCTTTTCAATAAGCTCTTCGTCAATTGCCTGCGCATGAAAATCCAGTCAGCCGGCGCCGTTCCAAATTGCAGGGAAAGACCCTGAAACCCTGCCGTCAGAGAGCTCGGACATCTCGTTTAAAGCCAAGTATGGGGATGTGGGGGGCCAGAAAGGAACGAACGCATACCTCACGGCATCGGGGTCGTTAAAGTTCAATTGGCCGTTGATTTTTAGGCTGGATGGGAGAGTCAGTGGATGAGAGCTCATGTCAAGCGTGGTTTATTGGGTTAAAAGGTGTAATTTCCACTGGTCGTATCTTGATATCCTGGACGGGGGAGGCTGAGTGCGCAGGTAACAGAACGGACTCACAACTTTGCGAAATCAGGATCTTCAAGCGCCAGTGCTCGAAAATCAACTCCTTGTTGGTAAATATTTGTCGTTGGATTCATCACGGATACGACGGGCATCAGCGAGGGTGTCTCCGGAGTTAGTGTCCTGTCAGCGAGTGTTGGATGGCTCAGTCAACAGGTGACATAAGACCGCTATTCAGTCAACTGCCTGGAGCCAGCGTTAGCACCTTGATGACTGTCGTTGAATTAGTCGTTCCCTATCTCGAGTAGTATGTGCATAGAGTACTTTCTTTTAGGAGGTGATTGCATTTGGCAGAAACTCCGTACATTTAGCTCTCTTGGTGCGTTCGAGGTATAGATGAACCTATGTATGTATATAACGTACATTAATACTTCGTACGTGATTACCGTACAGAGTGTACGATGTACATATAAATACGGAATACACGCGTATACAATACGACATATATGAGAAAGCCTTGCGTCAAGATCAGAATTTCAGAGTCGGTTATTAAGACCTTTGCATTACTCAAATTCCGAATGATATCTCGAGCCTCATCCACATAGTAATCCTTGCAAATTGCTCAAGGTTCTCCGTTCTGTAAATATAGTATGTATGTACATATGTACATACACGATTTCCATCTGTCCACGCATGGTCAGCACAGACTGGGTAACTAACCAACGGATCGGAAAGCCAAGCAAAATTCCTCCAACATGCCAGTAGGTCCAGCAAAGGACAAATTGCTAAAACCGTCTAGACTAGGTAACCTCCCCAAGGAGCTGGAAAATCACAAACTGGAGGCCTGAGCAAGACGGCAATCTAAAATTGAACATGCATACCGCCGAAAAAGGTGAAAAGAAATGCCACCGCGCACACAAACGGCAAATCCAAGTCCGCTAAACACGATGCCCAAATTGTCGTCATTCTAAGAAAAAGGGAAACACTGAGAAGAACTCTGGCAGTCTGGAAGAAGCAAAAATAAAAGTAGTAATAATATATGTACGTGAATGCTTAGAAGTTTTCAGGGAAAAACCAAAACATGACTCCGAGAAATAATGATGAACCAACCAATAACAGAAAATCAAAATGCTGCACCGCAATATTAAATGGGATATTATTAAACGAAATAATAATAAAGAGAACTACTCGGAATGCATGGAGAACAAATGCCACTGCTGCCTCTCCGCAGTTGCCGAATTGTTGGGGGGTCTTGATCAGGAGGTCCTGATGCAGGGGTGGTGCAGCACAGCACATGGAAATCAAGGGATTGGCTGGTTTGCGCCCACTAGATAGATAAGCTCTAACAAAAAGTTAGTCGAGGGTGACTTTTCTATAACAGCTGAATAATAATGATCTGAAAAGCTCTTCCAAGTTGATATCGTTTAGTAAAGGCTGAAAGTTGAAGGACTCACCAAACTTTATCCATTTTTCATTACTACTTGGTATGGCAGGGATTGCACTTCATGAAGCCACATATTTTGCATCTCCAGATGGCGATATGTGGGCCGCTATTACACATCGAACATCTCCATGTAAGGATGTTTCCGTTAGAGGTTTGAACGATTCCCCACTGGTGAGGACACGAAGGATTGGCCATATCGATGGTTTATTTTCTTTTTTTTCAATTTTGTTTTGCTTCCGGAATCGCGGATTTGGGTCCTGAAGGCTGACTTTGGTGGCAACGGATGGGTCTTTCTTGCTGGCTGGTTGGTGCGCACAACCAACGCTAAGATTGTCGAGCAGTTTAGGGCTCAAAGTGAGTTCCAGCGGGCTGGATGGTGAAATCGAAAAAGGAAAAAGGTGAGGATAATTGCCAAAGGGTTTCGAGAGGGTTCCTTAGCGCTTCTGGAAAAGTTGGGAGCCGAAAATGGAGCCTTTTTCGCTGAGAGCTCGTGAACGAAGATGTAGAGGAGATGTAGATGGAGCAATTTGAAGCCCTCGAATGTAGCCTTTATATAAGGCGTCGATGGCCCGAGGTATGTGTGAAGGGTCTATCAAAATAACGAAGGCAAGGTAATTTTGAGTCAAATTGACGTAGACCAGTCTCTTATTTTGTTTCCTCTCGCGGATGGGCGAGGCTAAGGGTATCAAGAAACAGTGCGAGGAACGAGATATAGCAAAGGGTATTGAATCCAGAGATGTGATATTATGTATGTGTGTATGTATGTATAAACGATGGGTATCGAGAAGCCTCAAGGCCACATTAAAGAAGGATGGTCACGCAAACACAACAGTGATAAACACTATGAAAAGATGGAAAGAGGAGAAGAACTCGGACAGAGGGAATGCGGAACAGGGAGCTTATTTTAATAGGGCCTGTCATTCTTCTTGAGAAGGGAGAGTCAAGAGGCGTCAGCCTCCAGGATCTGACAAAGGAAAGGTCTAAACTTCGGGCCTCTCCCCATAGGTCAAAGTCTGATGAGGAGACCATGGTCCAGAAGTCTACACAAGATCAACCGGAGGAGACGTGTGGTGGGACTGGCGAGCTTATTGGGCGAGGGTCTGCTCCTCGACGTTTGGTGGGTGGTTGAGATCTGTGAACAGCATACAGACGCCCGCACTTTACAAGCCAGACGACACTCGAGTCGGAATATCGCAGTTTACGGGCCTGAACTCGTTGGCTCGGAGAGTGGCGGTTTGAAAACCCAAGAACCGGGAAATTGGAGAGGCTCCCACGCATAATCCCTGTCATTAACCTGGAATTACGGTACTTAACGCCGTTTTATTGTAAATTATGCGATCAGACCAGCTGCTATTAATATAGGAGTTACTAGTGCAGCTGAACTTCAGCAGCACATACATACATACATACATACAATGCATATCTCACTGTGTGTAATAACTACCGGGTATCACTGCCACTGTTTTGTAAAGTACGTTGGCCGTCCTCCAGACCTGTCACTTCCCCCGTAACTAGCTAGCTAGTTAGTTACCTGGTACCTGGTACTCCGTAAGGACAGGCGATACGGCGTAACTTTGAGCTAGCCATGTCTGTATTGCCATGTTGGCTAGATTTTGGAACCTCACGCCATGTGGTTGTGACATCTCAGCACCGTTCGTCCTCTCCTGACTTGAGCACTTGAGCCAGAATGAGACCTGTCGCTTTTCCTTTCCACTCAGCAATGTCTACGAGCTCGAAGACAGATCGACCAGAGCACAGGTCTGTCCTGGAGTTGTCATGATTTGTCAGTTCTGTGCATTGCAATCTCTCTGATCTGTGCACGGGCCTGGATCCTCGCATGCCCATATATCGCTTCTTCTCTTTTCCCCCTCTCTTCGAGGTTGAGATTCAGGGTCTTTTGTGTTGCCCTGCCGCTTGTGCAACTGCAACTTGCCGGAAATGATCAGGAAACCACATTGTGAGTAGTCCGGATCTGCCACCCGAAGATTTGCTCCCGCCTTTCGAGAAGATCCTCGCATCTCAAGCGTACCAGGTTTACTTGTGCATCCATGAATCGAAAGGTTTAAACCTGCAGGGTCGGCTTCAGGTACCTGTTTCGGGGCTGAATTGCTTCGGGACCATCGAGACTGCCTCGTCGAAACTGTTGCATTTTTCAATCCAGACCTTGAAGTGAGCCTGATCGTCAACCTCGCCCAATAATACTTTGTGTTGCTCAAAAGATTTTGCAGCCCACTCTCTGCCCTCATTCCTTGGTGCTTGCTTTTCCTTGCGGAGAGCTGACCTGAGGTCACGGAGCCCACATTAACTTAACTAGTTAATCGTACCAGTTACCCTCCAGAAGATCTTTGAGGAGTTTTACAATGCGACCGACCCGAATACCTTATCTTGCTTCTGAGATACTATATACCGAACTATCATAGCTATTTCTGAAAGCAACCTCCTCATTGTCTAATTTGCGTTATTTGTTTATTCTTTTTCCATACATTCTTTTCGATCATTCTTTGTCGGTTGAGAAATAATGCCAAGGTGGGTGAATACTTGAGAGCCGTGTTCCAGTTAGGCATCCACGATCTCAAATGCATTGATTGGTTATTGGAAGAGGTCGCAGTTAGTTACCGTGATACAATTCCCCGTGTTCTCTTCCGATGAGGAAATCCAGAACATGAACAACTCCGCGTCAAACATCCGACTTCTTGCCATTTATGCCCAATAATCCCGGAACCTGTCCAACAACACTGAACGGCACATTGATAACCCGACTCCGGAGTTTGACAGGCCTCGTCAGTGGATGAACGGCCGCCACCACCGTTCGATCGGTCCCTTCATCACAACGCTGGCGTCAAGCCCTGCCGTGCTTAAGAGAGTCAATTGAAGTGACAGGTTTGTGAGTGACGGTTACAACGCAGATCACAGAGCCAAGTCACTGTTACCTGAAATGCCGGATTTAGCCCAGGAAAGAACATGCCGAATCCATTGATTCCATTCTGTGATTGCAGATCATACGCGCCACGATTTAACTTGAGGCTGGAAGCACTATCAATGGACGAGATCCTATGGAGTTGGTACCAATCTGATCTTTTCGATCATAGATGCTTGATTTAATACTGCTTATGCAAAATGAGCTGTCCTGGGATTTGTTTTTGCCCGTAATCTAAAACGAGCGGATGCAGCATTCGGTGGCTGGGGAATCGAAGCACACCTGCAATGCAGATTTACAATGCAAAGCCCTTCTTTTGGCAAAGCATTTTCATTTGTGGCACCAACAGACGCGAATCCGCTTTTTCAACGACGCAGGTTGCAGAGCAATCCAAGCTTTTTTGCTGAAGTTGCAAAACATTTCGATTGTGGTTCAGATCGGCTAAGTAACTAATTCCCCGTTGGAAAGCCAAAATTTTCCAAAGAATGACGAACAACCAGCACCCAATGTTTGCTATGATTTTCTGTTAGTCCACTGAAAAGACCAGATATTGATCGTCAGCTCAAATCCCTCGATGCTGATTAGTTTAGTTATTGAACCTTTTGCCTCTTTGAGTTGCACGTTTTTTCGGCCCTCGATTGACTCCATTGGCTGGACAGGCATCTAGAGGCAGTCGCTTAATTGGAAGATCTCGACGGAGGAGTGAAGGCTATGCTTCACTTGACGTGATCATCCCTGTTCCGTGCTGCGGCCTAAGCGCCACTTCTTTCTTTTTTCTTCCTTGATCATACCTGTTCCATCGGGTCTATCGGCCAATGGAGAAAAGGAACCAGCCTGGTAGAAATCTATCAAGGTGGTAATTAGGCACAATAAGGAATACCTGATATGCAGATGGAGCATCAAGGTCTCTCTCTGCTCGTTCTTCCGGGCAGTTCACTTTCTAGTCCTCAATTACTCCGAGCGTTGATTGAACAATCTTTACGCAACACTATCAAGGTTGTGAGTGCCTATTTATTTAGAAGCAGAGATGTCTTGATTCAAACTGAGCCGAATTTTTCTTTGATCTTATTTCATGTCGTGGTTGGTTTTTAATTTGGGGTTACGACATACGATGGACGCGTGTGTCACGGAGTTCAATTCATTCGTTGGCATATCCCATAGTTTTGAATACACTAATAGCTATGGAGTACTTCTGTCGGGAACAGCTGGATTTATACTCTAGAACCAGACCATGCTCTTTTTTTCAAAGCAATCATGGTCAAGAGAAAAGTAAAAACCACGAGGGTTTTTCAGTTCAACGGAACCGAATCCGCTGTGGATCCCATTTTGATATTCCAACGCTCCGTTAAGGACGAATCTTTGATGATACGCATCTCGGCAGAGAACCGCCTCGAGACATATCTGAAGAAAGTCCCTGCAGAACCCTTAGTGTTTCTGCATCGTTGGGTATGCCTTGCTTGGCGATGCTGTGGCGCCAACCACGATTGTACTCCACAAGAAAAACAGTGCAAACAGTTCGTTATTCCCCAGGCATTCCTAACCAGACGGCCATGGTCGTGTCTCACCCTACACGATAATCGACGGCGTTGAGGTCGAAAGTTTGTAGCTAACGCTGACCTTGGCGGCCTCCCGCAAACACCTCGAGTGGCACTGGAAGATATTGGTTTTACTTCAGCAAAAAAGAAGCCATAAAAAGATTTCGTAAATACTGAGCGGGAAGGAGCGTATGCATGTTCCCGTCGCTGGGAGGGCATTGATTCGTCAATCAGATCCAGCCCGGCTTGCCCAATAAATCGCTGGATCGATCGATCGATCGATCTCTTTCTTTGATTTTGAACAGCCCTGCGGAGTATAAAGATGTCGAACTGATGTCCCTGTCCTGGAAGAACGTCAATCGGGAGCCCCCGTCCGGGCCCTCCCCATCCCAACCAACCCAGCCGACCCGACCCTGCTGGTGCATGGTGCATTTCGACTTGGGTCACGTCCTCGAGCGCGATGACCATTTTGGGGATTCCACCAATCCCTTGCTCAAGGCGGCTCCCCCTACCTTGCCTTCATGATCAGCTTGCGGGTTTGGATTTTGTCCACAGTTGCTGCAGAAGATTTCCGTTCCGGGTCATTTGAAGCTGGGGTGCATCAAGGTGTTCACACCAACAACTCATATGAAATTGCGACGAGACCTGTCGGATTTCTGGATCTGCTGACGGTTTGGGCACGGCACATTTTGCGATGGTTGCGTTTCGAGTAGCTCTGTGATTCGTAAAAAAATCTGGAAGTGGATGAAAAGAAAATGTGATTCCAAAGAGTTTTCAGCAGTCAACAAAGCTGACTAATGCAACATTAGTTAGTTATGTAATCGGTGGTTTTGGAGACAAATGATTGGTCCACGAAATAACAACTTCTTCGACGAGATGTATAGATACAGAACTATGGGTATAAAAAGATATACTAGCTACAAATCTGTCATTCCCAGTCAAAATGGCGGGTACACATCACGGGCTTTCCGGCACATTCAATGGTTCAGCTGCAACGGTGGCGTTAGGTCATGTCCGGGCATGTTTGCGCGATTCTAGTCGCGCAGCTCGAACAAAGAAGATATACTAAACTCCGAGTCAGGACCGCTTCCGATTCAGCCAACAGTCAACAAAGGTCCAAGCCTACCTCTCCCCGTAATGGTGGCGCCGGATGCTCTCCGCCAAGAGCGCGGAGACATCCAACACGATCAGCTTTCTCATGCTTCTCGCCCTTTGCGGATCAATAGGAAAGGTATTCGTTATCACAATGTAATCAATACAGTCACACTCCTCGATCTGCTCAAGTGAATTTTCCCCGAACAAGCCGTGGGTAGCGATACAGTATACCTTCTTGGCACCTCCCTTCTTCACAACCGTTTCTGCGGCTGCAATCCAAGACCCCGCGCGGTCAATCATATCATCAACGATGAAGACGGTCTTGTCTTTTACATTGCCGACGAGAGTGATTGTCCTTTCGTGATTAGAATTCTGCACCTTTTCATCTTCTTCGTCTGACGAGGCCGCGGCATCGAATGAACCACCAAGCGCATGCTCGGGCTGGAAGGATGATAGCGTCGAAACGACAGATTCGGCCATTGGGTCGAGGATGGCTCCATCGTATGTATCCGCACGTTCCATGGAAGCGTTCAGTACGGAGACTGAAGCAGAGGTAGAAGAGAGATTCGGTGAGGGATAGTCGTCATCAACTAAATGGCCTTGGACTAGTCGTCCGGTTATCACCTCTCTGGCACGCTCATCGGTGTACTCGTTCCCTGCGTCATCATCGTCATGATTAACGCTTTTTTCTGGTACTTCGGCCTGCGGAGTCTTGCCCTCTTCAGCAAGGGGTGTTAATGCACTGGGTTTTGCATCAATAAAGGGATCCGCGAGCGATGAGGGATGCTGGTTGATATCTTGAGGGCGAACACGAGTGGGTAAGCTAGCACGATGAGCAACATGTCGTAGAGGAAACTCTGCATTTCGGACATTTGCTAGGGTATGTTCGACTGAATCAAAGAAAATGGCACTGTCCGTCATGGAATTGTGGGTGTATCTCTGCCGTCTTCTGTCGGTTGTGACGATACCAAAGTTCAGTTTCAGTGCATCTGCCAAAGACGTGACACGCTTGCTTCCTCCAGCGTTTTTGGTAACCACCACAGCCTCATGCCACCGTGGAACGTTTATTTTAATCCAACGCGCTATCAGAGCTTCGGCAAATAAGTTATCGACAGGCTTCCCAAAAAAGCCTTGCATCTGCGACGCCTATATTTCCATCGTCAGCCCACCATGTCTCCCAACCGGCGAAGTTGAGCCCGTACATGTAAGTCAACGGTGATGACATGATCAACGCCCGCAATTGATAGCAAATTGGCTAGCATTCGCGCCGTAATCGCCCCGCGGTGGCTCTTCTTCTTTGATTGACGGGAGTAGGGAAAATATCTCCAAAGGCGTTAGTGGAATCTTCACTCGACAAGGCAGAACGTAAGAACCTACGGTAGAACAGCTTCAACAGACAGTCAGCCAATCAGTTCCACACGGTTTAAACAACATACAGGGACCAGAATAATTACCTGTGATTGACTTCGCCGAGCCACCTTTGCAGGCTGAGATCATAATCAACAGTTCCATCACGCTATCATTAATCTTGCTGCTTCCGCTCTGAACAATGAAAACATCCTGATTGCGCACTGAAACACCAATATTCACACAGGTCTCCCCATTGCTGAATTTTCGCAACTCGCATTTCGCAGGGACGGTGCCCAGCCGCTCGCAGATGGCTTCTGCGAGGGCGGGGTGGGAGCTGCCGGAGAATATTTGAACGCCCCGCATGTCTTGCTTCGCTGCGTAGCTAAGTGTCTGGTAGGATCATTAACTAAAGGAAATTCGTCAGAGTACGCGAAGATGGTGTTTATCTGGCAAGCAAGTATATCGTTGAAGGTTTTTGATGTTTGCTGCGCCTGTATTTGGTGAACCTAAAAAAAAAGCGGTCGAGATCCAGAACATGTGACGTTGGGGAAGGTTGAGAAATAACTACTCCGTAGTTATCACTAATGAGAGAATATTAATTCACCGTGCGATTTCTACGGAATGAAGCTCCAAAGGACAATGTGAAACTAGCAATTGAGCCTGGTACTCTATTATTTCAAAATCAGCGCAGTGGAACGATGTCGCAGAGCTTTCCTCCCATCCAGCCCGGCGGCTCTCTTATGGTCGCATGGCAAGTCAGGGATAAACACGTCCTGGTTGTTGGCGGTGGCGAGGTTCGTTGATAGAGCACTTGTTAGCATCGCATTGAGCTGGCGCCATTCACTTCAGCTAACAAAGTACAGGTTGCAGCAGGCAGAATCCTGCATGCCTTGAACGCCGACGCCAAAGTCACAGTGGTATGCCCGTCCGCCTGCCTGAACCCAGAAGTCAAGTACCGCATCTCAGAGAACCACGTGGCCTATATTGACCGGAAATTTGAACCCGTCGATCTCGACGACGATGTGGCAATGGTGTTTGTGGCGATTGACGACCCGGAGGCCTCGTCGCAGATATGGAAGCTATGTAGGGAGCGCCGGATTCCCGCAAACATTGCCGACGTGCCTTCGGAATGTGATTTTTATTTCGGCAGTGTGCACCGTGATGGGCCGCTGCAGGTGATGGTGAGCACCAATGGGAATGGCCCAAAGCTAGCGAGTATCGTCAGGAAGGAGATTGCAGCGGCATTACCGGCGAATACTGGTGCAGCGATCCAGAATGTTGGTATTCTAAGAAGGAAGTTGAGGGAAACCGCACCAGGCCCAAAGGATGGGCCAAAGAGGATGAAGTGGTTCGTGGCTGACCTCATACCGAATCGACTAACTGTTTCCTGGACGTGAAAGCTGATTTCTGTCTAGGATTTCTCGGTTATGCGAATCTTGGAGTTCGGAAGAACTCGTTGAGATGGACGAGAAGGATATGGAAACTTTGCTTGGATTCTATACCCAAGATATAATTCCCGCTTTTGAACAGGTCCAACTCAAAGAAGGTAATATTGCGCCTTTTGATGGAAGTATGGGCTGGAGCTGTTGATGGCCGTCGTTTTGTAATCTGGCGCTGCTGTGTAATAAAAGGCCTGCTAAGGAAACCCTGGGTAGCAATTCGTATAGTTTGAAAAATGTTTATTTGGCCTTTTGTCTCCCCTCCCAATGAGTCTAGAAATCCACTAAAAGTACAGGAAGAGCAAAGGATACACTGGACGCCATAGCCGCCGCGAACATCAACTCAAGATCCCAGTGCGAAAGGAGCATGGCAGCGGTCATATCAGCAATATACATCGGAATACATCGGAAAAAGAAATGGGATTGATGAGTCAAAAAGGCGACGAGTACAGGTACAGGAACGTTTAGGGGTTGCTCTTGACGAAGTCGATACCTAAAGAAAATTATTCCGGTTAGCTAATGTGACATTACCGCTGCTAAGATGCAACTTACCCTTGGCAATGTTCTTCTTGAGGTCAACCATGCAGGCGTCGAGCAGGCTCTGTTCATATTCAGAGATCTTGCCAACTGGGAAAATCTCCTCAACACCGTTGGGTCCGAGTCTGACACGGGAGGCGAAGAAATCAATGCCCTCAGATTTGTAAAGAGGGCTCTCAACGAAAGTTGGCTCAATGACGTCCTTGACGCCCTGGGAAGCCTTGAGCAAGCTCTCAGCGAAACGAGCACCGGCCATAGCCATGGAGAGAGTAGCAGATCCAGCGCCGGCCTTAGCCTTGACGACCTCATCACCACCGAATTGGATGCGGTTGACGAGCGCCTTGAGGGCGTCACCGGAGATATCGGGGTGGTTGGATTGAGAGATCAAGGGGACAATGGTCACACCGGAATGTCCACCGACGACGGGAACCTCCTCATTGACGGGGTCGGTTTTCTTGATCTCGGAGATGAAGCGGGAAGAACGAACAACGTCGAGAGTGGTGACACCGAACAGACGCTTGGGGTTGTAGACGTTCTTGGATTTGAAAACCTCGGCAACGATTGGGACGGTGGAGTTGACCTGGGCGGCAAGAGTCAGCACAAAGTTGTAAGCGAAAATAGCGGCAAAGCTGGACTTACCGGGTTGGAGATGACAAGAACGTTGGCATTGGGGGCGGCCTCCGCAGTAGCCTTGGCCAAATCACGAACGATCGAGGCATTGGTGGTGAAGAGATCTGAAAGTGGATATCAGCTTTCCGTTGTTTCAGGGCTGCTTATAGACTGCTTGAACCGCACCATCACGGGTCATGCCAGGCTTGCGGGGAACACCGGCAGGGATCAAAACGATCTCAGCATCGGTCAAAGCATCACGAAGGCCAGAAGGAGTGGGATCGTAGCCAGTGACGGTGCTGTTGGTGTTGATGTGGCTCAGGTCGGCAGCGACACCTAGATGGGAGCAATAGGCTTCTGTTAGCATCCAGCAGCAAAATAGCCCAGGACCATTCAATTGCTTGAAAGCGCTGTAAATATGGCGTCAAAAATAACTAGATTGATGGCATTACCTGGTCCACCGCGAATGTCATAAAGAGCAAGCTGGCTAACACGAGGGTTGAGCTTCATCAAAAGAGACAAGGGCTGGCCAATGCCACCGGCGGCACCAAGAACGGTGACCTTGGAGTTCTACAGCATCACGCCTGTCAGCAAGGAGATAACCGCCAGCGGCAATGGATGTGAATGCATTGACGGCCTCCGCTGCTTACCTGCTGGGCAGTCGCCGAGAAAGCACGGCGCTGGACAAGGCCAAAAGCTCGACGAGCAGCAAACATGATGACTAGAGAGGAGGGGGTATCACACAAAGGGACAGAGAGGGCTCTAGACAACTAGTCTGGACGAGTGCTGTTTATGAAGCGAGGGGAAGCAAAGTGAATTGGTGGTGAAGAAGAGTGAAAGAAGAGACGGTGAGGATGTTGTTTTTTCGCACCAAAGTCACGGGGCCACACCCATGCCATTAACTAGTGGTTACGGCTCACCGGCAATCCCCTGGAGCTGCTTCGGCGTCAAACCGCCAGGGCTTGCCACCGGGATGCTGTTGCTTCGAGCTGTCCCGCAGAGAAACCGACTCCAGAGCGGCATTTTTACAGGACGTACGGAGGACATCCCGACAACAATCGCGCTGGTCTTCAAGGCCCCCTTTGAAGGTCTCTCATGCTTGCGAGGTTACGCCGAGGATATAAAATCGCGAAAATCTGGGGAACAGCACTAGCTACAGAGTAGTTAGTTCACTACATCCGTTGTGAGTGGAGAACACCGCCAGCGTGCTCCTCTTCAGCTCGCCGAAGAGTCCTGCTGGGTGAGAGGTGAGAGGTGAGCGATGCACCGCTGTATCCAACCAGAAGGCCTGCACTAAACACCATGCTGGTTATATTATTGTTTCACAGTGATTCCCGACGTAATCATCGCCGAAATACGGGGCAACGGGATGCGTCCCCAATCCCGAAAAACTGCAGACAAGCTTCTCTCCAGCTGGCCATCGGCCGGTTGACCTGGTTTTTTATATACCCTGGTTGAGACAGATTCTCGACTTCAACGCCGCTGTGAGAGACGCTTCTGCATTGACAGCCATGTTGAGATTTGGCTACGGTTCTTAAATCGAAAAGGGCCTTCTTTTACCCTCATTCTTGAAATGTTTCACTTGACCCTAGTGGAGGCCAATCCAGCGGCATACCATATAAACCCATCACGTACTCCATAGCTGAAACATCAGGCGGGAATCGAAGCAACCGTAAATCAAGGAGGGCCTCTACGATGATCTCGAGAGCAATTGCTCGCTCGGCTCCTTGACTGGGTTCTTTAGACCAGAAACCATGTGTTTACTTGACTGAGTATGACACAGAGACTTCTGCCATGCTTTGGCTAATACTCCGTGATTTTGTATGAGGAAATCTCGTACGGCCAGAATAGAAGATGCTCGGTTAGATTGTCCGGATGTATGGACATACCTACACAAGATGAGGCTGAATGCACTATCTTTCATGCTTTGTCAGGCTTTTGAAATCGAGCCAATATTGCTATGAGCTGTCATATTATAGATTTCACTTAGGTGCCTCCGAGAACAAAGTATTGTTAAAGGATTTTTCTTTGGGTTGAATGTGCAGAAGCCAACGTAGTGGAAAGAAGGTAAGTACAGAATATATTATACAGGAGTCCGTTCACGAATGAGAGCTTGGGGTGATGGCTTGGGCCCCAACTCAGGATCCAATCTAAGCGTCTCCTGCTGGGTCAGTTTTCGCATGACAACACCATTCTCCTGCGGCACATGATAGCCTACAGGGCCATTCGGCGACTGCTGGTGGTTTGGCCATTCAACGAGCTGGGCTTCTTCACCCTCTGCCGGTTCTTGCCCCAACTGCCTCCGCCTCTTCCACCACCCGATAGATCGGTTGATCACTGATGCAATCAGAATCAAAACGGCGGACACAACGGGAGACCACTGGCCCACGGAGCCATGGCTTTCTTCCACGGGGAGCTCGGTTTTCATTAAATTGAGTTCGTTGAAGATGATGTTTGTGACAAACATGGGAAGTGCGGCAAGATCGAAGAGGAGGTCGATGAACAGTAATGCGCCGAGTGCTGTTATGATCAAACGGTTTTTGAGGCTTATTCCGAACTTGACTTTCCGGATGTATTGGAATAGAAGGATGTACCCGCCATACCAGGATCTGCAGGCGGCGTTGTAGGTGGTTTGTGAGAGGCGCATGTTCAATGAGCTATTTACGTGTACCATGACTAGTGACGTGCATCCGTACGACGGCGTATGCGGACTTAGGTTGATAGAGAGTGATTTATGCGTCGCTGCTAAAATAGGAACCAACAGGATAACGCCGAGGTTGGCATATGTTCCGAGGAGATGGTCCGTTGGCAAAGCCATGATTTCGCTGCTTTGTCGCATTGGTGTTTTCGCGGAGAAGCATTTATATGTGCAATTGAACTGCGACGAAACAAGTTCGGAGGTGCTCGTTAAAAGGTCTCCGGTGGGAGACCGACAAGCTGGCTCGACACCAGTGCGGACATCGACAATCAACGCCCGGCCCGTAAGGCAGCCTATTCCAACAAGTGCACCCCAGAGTAGAATGACGATTCTGCCTTCCGACCGTCGCAGCGCAGACGACCAATGTACCAGTGCGGCAAAAGCCACACACCCGGTCGTGAGTACCGCCCATGCGGCGACAATATCCAGGTCGAACACTGGAGCTCGCGACTTTGCAAGCGTGAGCATGTGGATCGCGGTAGATCCAGCATATGATAGTGCAGAGGCAAGTGCTCCCATGACTAGCCAGCGTTGGTATCGGCCCAGAATCCCAAGGATAAGAGAGATATAATATAGTAGCCGTGGGAGTAACCCGTATTGCCCACTGATGGGATAGACGCAAACAATGGTGTCATTATGCCCCTGGGGAATCTCGGATGGGTTGATTAGATCGCGCTCGACCAGCTTCGAGGGAGATGAAGAAGTATGCGTTGGCAATGCCAGCGTGACTGGGGCAAGAAGGTATAGAATCGAGATGACCGCAAGGATAAAAAGGCCGGTACGGCGCATTTTGGAGAGTGAGGACTGTCATGGGTTGGTGCTTATAATAAGTCTTATCCACTACTCGGTATCTTCGACGTCGTTGTCGCTAGACGGGACTCCAATAGCTCAATGAATCCAAAGTGTTCAAAGTCCTCTGGTGAAGTAGACCGGTCTCACGACGTTTCCGTTGTCGAAATACGAGGGCTCCACTAGCGGGCAACAGCAGCAGTAGATCCTGTTGTGAAACTGGTTTAATAATAATACCTCGTTTTGGGGTTCGAACACCCGATGATTTTGGCATCGGCATAAAGCAAAGTTTCCAGCTCGAAGACTGAGCAAATATGACTTTGGCAGGCTCATGCTCTGCTGTTGGTGAAGGGTACTGAGGGATATTCGCAGCCTTATCAACTCTGGGCAACAATGAGGTTAAAACTCTCGAGGCGCTTGAACATCAGACGTATTCCGCTCTGATTGGAGCTAAGCCCGTAGCACATGGGTGCACTGCCCGAGATATTTTTGAGTGAATCTTGCTATCAGAATGGTTGAGCATCCAAAGGACAAGGATCCCGACCAAATCCTGCCTCAATTAAGAGCCAAGGAACTCAATCGTCATTGCCGAGTGCGAAGCTAAAGGTTCCTTTCACCAGCATATTCAAAAGGCCGGACTTTGAAAACGGTCCCGTTGGCAAGGCGCATTTTCTTCGAGGTCGCAAAAGGTTGGTACACGGATAGAAACGGCATTATAAATACAGTGCAAAACGCTCACGCTTCTTCATACACCAATCCCAACGCCAACGAAGGTCAGTCAGGTCGAAACAGACCATAAAACTATATCCACGAGAGGCAATTCACCTCCTCCAAACGTGACAAGGTCACCGTAGGAAGTGCAATACAGCCCAACAAAATCCAAAAAATATGACGACTCCAATCCAAAATATCCATTTATCTTGCTTAGCCCTCCTCTCAACCTTTCGAATGGTTTCTCCGCTAATCCCTAGCGTATTCGCAACGCTATATAGCCTCCGTTGCGTCCCCTTGAGAATTTCGCGCTGCTGCCCGAGATCTCCGAGCACCGCTCGACCCCGGTCCAAAAACTCATCTAGCTGTGTATTCGTGTTTGAAAAAAAGGACTGCTCTCGCAGCGCGTGTTGTTCACGATTATATTGCGAAGGATCGGTCCCGAAACTGAGACCTGTACTGCCCGACGCTTGGCGGCGGTGGGGATTTGCAAAAGGAGACGGTTGTTGAGGGAGAGCAGATTGGGCGTAGGGGTTTTCGGGGGTTGATGCATGATGTGGCCGCCGACCTAGAAGCTCGCTCCGATTTGTAGCAACTTGCTTTTCAGGTTACAGTCATTAGTCTGTCAAGTCTCGGATGATAGACGCTTTATCCAATACATACCGCATCGTCTCGTTCCTTTTTTAATCTGTCAAATTGCGTTCTATAATCCGCCAATTCCGCTCTAAAATTCTTTAGCCGCTCGAATGCTTTTTCTTGTTTTTCCGGAATAAGTTCTTTCTTGGAAAGAGAAGAATAATCGTCAATCGTTCGGGAAAAGGATGCGAGTGACGCCGATATTTGGCCTATTCGAGAAAACCGAATTAGAGAAGTACTATATCGACGATTTCGGGACCTCGAGTCATGGCTCGCAAGTCGCAATTGTGATTACTTGTTGAGCATACCTTGAAGGGCAGCTGGAGAGGAGGCAGGGGCTTCGGCAAACGTATCAAGGCCGCGGCGCACGGCCGCCGACTGCTTCAAAGCTGCGTTGAAGAGGGAATTCTAGCGCAGATTACATCAGTTCAAGCTCAGGAAGCGGAGTGCATGGAGCGTCTTCAAACAGTGATACGCACCATCGCGCCGCAAAAAGGGGTGAGGTTGGGATTGGTTCACGACAAGGAGCCAGTCTGCGATACTCTGGCAGCAGGCAGTAGAGGAAGACAAAGCAAGAAAATCAACCGAGTCAACCTGCTGCCAGGATGCAAGCTGGCCCGAAGACATCGAAGCATGTGGTATTCTGCCATCTGGAGCCGCCTCCATCGGATAAATTGCTTTTCCATCCCGTAACCACGCCCGCCCGAGCTCGAATACCCGACTCCGTATTACTCCGTACAAAGTAACCAAAGCGCTCTTGAAGAGTCACGGCCTGGGAGATATATGTTATTAACGAGATAACTATGGGTTGCTAACCACTTTGCCAAAGCACTGCTATTCGTCGGCCCTGAATTAACAGCCCAGGGCGTTCCTTCACCTCCCGGCGAGTGTTATACAGTTCCCCGGGCTCCACGCAAATACCGCTGCTTCCAAAGACAAGACCTAAAACTTAAAATACATATGTGCAGGGGCTACCATTCAACTCCAAGGATATACAGAAAGGGTGCCACGTGAGTAGAGACAGGACTGGAAGTTATCGAAATCCTCTCTAGTATCCGGGCGAACCGGAGGCTCATCCAATTTATAGCAGCCTAGGAGCAAGGAGATTATTTTGGAGGGTATTTGTTTTGGAAAAACCACCTGATCCCGCGAAGTCATTAGCATAATTGCATCCAACCTAGGCATTTCAGGCTTTGCTTACTTGCTCACAAAATAATCCACCAGCCCAGCAGCACCAATACCGCCAGACCACAGTGCGACCGTTTCCCAGGTCAATATTCCCCGCAGGTACTTTTGATACGCACCGTATCCCAATCCTGCGCTCGCCACGGTGAGTAGAATCGCATTGGTCACCAGTACAGGGTTCGACTTGTTTTCACACAACTTCGCATACGTCCCTTTGGCCTTGGCCTTGCCTCTTTGTGCAGCAGCCTTGGATCTCTCTTTGTATTGGCGTTCGCGATGCTTCTCCCCTTCTTCACGCTGAAGACGTTCGGCTTGGGTGTTCGTTTTAACGGATTGAGATTCATAATTCGATGGCACAGTGTTTATGTGAGGGGAATCCACGTCGACGAGGGAGGAAGTGGTGGTTTCGGTGTCATTGAACTCGACTTGAATTGGTTGAGGAGCAGCGCTGGAGAGCAGAATACGTTAGGATGCTCTGATTAATGACATTGCGATCTGTGATGCGCTATATGATTGACTTACGCCTAAATTGTAAAGTCAATTAAGTTCTTAATACGGCGCCTTGGACATTGTGGACTTACCTCTTTTGGGCTCTGGGTCGCGCCTCGTGCAGCAGCTTCGGCGTATGACATGCTAGGCATGTAAAGAAATCAAATAATGGGGGATAAGATGGTATTAATGCCTTAAGGCGCAGGTATTATTTCGTTAGCAAAGATGGAAACAGAGAGATATAAAAGCCCAAACGAAACTATGGTCGGAACGGGATTCCCTTACCCTTGTGACAAGTCAAAGGACAGATCTGGTTCGGATTATCTTTCTCAATTCGAGAGGGGAAGGCACTGAAGTACTTTATAAGCCAGTACGGAGATAGCAGATGCCTCCTCAGTTATATCGTCACTGGCTGGACGAAGTGAGACCGGGAAGTGACGAAAAGCTTCCAACTGACTGCATCACGTCATAGGGCCCCTCCGCCCCGGTTGGTCTCCGTCCGAAAGGGGGTCCCGCCAAGCGTTACGTAATTGGCTTGGCAATAAGGATACGATAATCACGTGTCCCCTGTCGTCCTTAATGTCCAAAGGTCTTCTTAAGAAAGTATGTCAACAATCGGCAAGACAATTGAAAGAGATGACTGTTGATAGCAGAACTGATGTGGCTGGGTTACTCAGGAGGTGAGCTTATATTAGATGTTTCTAAAAGGCACAATTGAATTTCCCTAGCTGCACAGTGGTATTGTGTGTATTGAACTTTGGAAAAAATGCCGGGCAACAGCAAAGGAAAAGAGAGAGGTCATGGGATACAGTAATACATTTTAGTACAAAAATTGAGGAGACAAAAAAAAAAGGTGAAATGTACGTGCAACGGCCATATCGCTAGCCAAATCAAAAATTGAGGAGAAGCGTAGAGATGTGGTGGGACGTGCTCATAGCATCAGTTCAAGAGGGTTCTCAACCACCTTTTTCAACTCCTGCATAAATTCGGCCCCAACAGCTCCATCGATTACCTTGTGGTCAAAGCTTCCAGTAACGACGATCTGGTCATCCCATTGCACTTCAGTGCCGTCTTCACCCTCCAAGGGCACAGCGACCTTCTTGGTAGTGCCGACGGCAAGGATGCCGGCCTGTGGGGGATTGATCACTGCGGTGAATCTTTCCACCGCAGAGTTCATGCCCATGTTACTGATGGTGAATGTGCCACCATTGAACTCTTCGGGCTTCAGCTTGTTGTCTCGGGCGCGCTTACCGAGATCCTTCACCTGGCGTGAAATGCTCTCCAGGCCAAGTCCCTCTACGCCTTTCACGATAGGGGTGATGAGACCGACAGGAGTAGCAACCGCGACGCTAATGTCGACGTTCTTGTGCTGGCGAATCACAACCTGTCCGTTTTGCTCAATCCAAGCCGAATTGACGGCGGGAACTTTTCGAAGTGCAATAGCGCAAGCTTTAATCAAGAAGTCATTGACGGACAACTTGTACTTGCCGTCTGCGCTAGAGTTCAAGGCTTGACGAAGTTTAAGGAGTTTTGTGACGGACAAAGTGGATGAAACAAAGTAATGCGGGTTTTCCCTCATGGATTGGGTAAGACGATTGGCAATGACCTTGCGCATCGACGAGGCAGGAACATCTTCGTAGGAGGGACCAGCAGCAGCGCCAGGAGCGGCGGTAGGTTGGTATTTCTCAATATCCTCTTTGGTGATTCTACCACCAGCGCCTGTGCCTTTAAGGCTCTTGATGGGAACTCCGCGCTCCAGGGCGAGTGCTTTGGCGGCCGGGCTGATCAATGGCTCTCTATCAATCGACGGTTGTAAACGTTCGCCTGTCACCTCTGGTTCTTCTGCCGCGGGCTTCGACTCATCGCGCGCAGGCGATGGGGCTTCGGCTTCAGTTTCAGGTCCCTTAGATGACTCTGCGGCTTCTTTTGGTGCTTTATCCGCGGCTGGTTTCTTATCACCACCAGCATCTTCAAGGGAGAATGACTCAAACTGGGAGATATCGGTGCCTTCTTCAACCATCACCGCGATGGGCTGTGTCCGTCATTAGACAACTCGGCTCGCCCGTCTTGCAAAAGGTGTCCAAGGCTACTCACATTTCCAACAGCAACGTCTTTTTCTCCTGCTTCCTTCAAAATCTTCGCAAGCACTCCTTCTTCCTGAAACTCAAAATCCATTTGCGCTTTGTCGGTTTCAATCTCAACGAGGACATCGCCAGGGGCCAAAGTGTCTCCGACTTTCTTCTGCCATGATCCGATATTGCCTGCCGTCATTGTAGGTGACAATGCCGGCATGCTGATAATCGTATGGGAAGGATATGCTAGACCCCAAACTTAGCACAAGCCAATCCAATCGGTATGCAGGGAAGTGTCATACATTTTGAGGCATAGTATCTGGCCAGCGAGGCAAACAGTGGCCCCTGCAACCTACCATTGACACAACGTTAGCAGATGCATTCGAGGGCGGATGGCGAAAATAAATTCCATTGACAAACACTTACCGTGATGTGTCACGCAATTTATACAGGGTCCGCGATTCTCGGAGAGCCGGAGCGGGTCTTGAGAGAAGTAGGCGGAACGAGGAGGATCGCGACATCACTGCAGCGGAAGCCATAGTGGAAAGGAAATAAGCGGCAATGCTAAAAACCAATATTCTCCTGATATAATGGAAAACGATTGTAAGATCCGCAATGGGATCCTCTCGACTTCAATCCGCTGTGAACAAAAGGTGAAGTCGCTGCTTCAACTCAGCGTTTTTGTTGAGCTATTATTTGGTTGGTCTTGGCGGGTGTCTTTGGGTTCCCATCAAATCGTGGGTGCTTACTAATGTGATCAGCACTAGCCTCGGAGCGGACTAGCGCCACTCCTTGCGCTGGATGGCCGCGTGGGCCTCTGTATCAAAAGATGCCACTCTCAGAACATGGGGCGTCGAGGCGCATTCGACGATGGCAGATTGAAGGGACGCACGCATGGTCGGCATTGATCAGCAATTCTTTTACTCGGTGTCTCTTTAGCCTTCCTTTTTGCTACCTTCAATGCGGACAGATCTTTTGGCGGTGCTTCGTGGTCATATCGGTTGGAGTCTAGCCACCAATGGCTCAGGGCGATGTGCCTGAGCACGACGCTGTAACAGACGGGTCCCTCGCCGATGAGCCCGCCGGCTCCCACACGGATAAAGAAGGTACAATGTCCGACATAAATGAAGTGTCTGAGGTGACGCAAGATATGGAGCCGTCGATAACCCGTCCCAAAGACGCACCTTTGCCGGACGATTCTTTGGGCTCTCCAGGATCTACGGATTCCTTAGAGCAAGGGGCGGAGGAGGCTGTAGAAGTCCCTGCAGCTCAAGAAGGGGATTATGATGAACAAAAATCGGACGTTCCGATAATCGATCCTGATACAACAGCGGAGATTCAGCCAGAAACTCAGCCGTCCACGAGCCCGATTCCACCCATACCAACCGACGGGCGAGAAAGATCAGATTCCCGGTCGACGATTGCTACCCAGGCAACCCATCGAACTGCACCGCTTAGCTCTGCAGTCTTTGTTGTTACAGCCTTGGACGCTATTGCAGCATCGAAGGAAGCCCGGCGCAGCAAGGAATTGGACGACGCTGTCAAATCAGCGCTGGGGAATATCAAACAATCTGAACAACACCCTATCGACCCAGAATTAATATTTAGGCCCCTAGAGCTGGCTAGCAAGACACTCAGCATTCCTCTTCAGATCACCGCTCTTGATTGCATCGGCAAGCTCATCACATACTCCTATTTTGCGTTCCCCTCCGCGCCAAACGAAAGCAAGCCAGAATCGGACGATCAGCCGCCCCTGATAGAACGCGCTATTGAGACAATATGTGACTGTTTTGAGAATGAAGCTACCCCCGCCGAAATACAACAACAAATTATCAAGTCTTTGCTCGCCGCGGTTCTTAACGACAAGATCGTTGTTCACGGGGCCGGGTTACTTAAAGCTGTGAGGCAGATTTATAACATTTTCATATATTCCAAATCTAGCCAGAACCAGCATATTGCCCAGGGGTCACTCACCCAAATGGTTGGCACCGTTTACGATCGGGTACGTTTTCGCCTGGACCTCAAGGAAGTACGACTTCGGGAAGCGGAGAACCGTCATCGCGCCGCCTCGGATGTGTCATTTGGCCAACATAATCATTCGACACCAACCGATCAAGACGAGTTACCTGAGGATGAACAGTCGCCCGTATCTGATCACCCCGTTGCAAAAGACCCAAAAGAAAAGATGACCCTGCAAAGTTTTGAGACGGCCAAGGACGACGCAATGGTAAATGATAATGCACCTACTATGGTTACTCGGGCCAAGGCCAATCGAAAAGCATCGCGGTCAATTTCAGGTGACGATCTAGATCCGGCAATAGATGACGAGGATGAAATTTATATCAAGGATGCATTCCTTGTTTTCAGAGCTTTATGCAAACTCAGCCATAAAATTCTATCCCATGAGCAACAACAGGATCTCAAGTCCCAGAATATGAGATCTAAATTGTTATCGCTGCATCTCATGCAACATCTCCTTAGCAACCACATCGCTGTGTTCACCTCTCCACTTGCAACTATTAAGAGCAGTTCAACGACAGGGGATACCATGACTCTCCTGCAAGCTATAAGACCTCATCTTTGTTTGAGCTTAAGTAGGAATGGTGCCAGTTCTGTACCGCGCGTTTTTGAGGTCTCCTGTGAGATATTCTGGCTCATGCTGAAACATATGCGGGTCATGTTAAAGGTCAGCCAACTGTTATCCCAATTGCTATTGTTATCGTCTAATGATTGGAACAGAAAGAATTAGAGGTATTTTTCAAAGAAATTTACCTTGCTATCCTCGAGAAGCGCAGTTCACCGGTATTCCAAAAACAGTATTTCATGGATATCCTTGGGAGATTGGCTACTGACCCACGGGCACTGGTTGAGTTGTATCTCAATTATGATTGCGACCGAACGGCTTTAGAGAACATGTTTCAAGGGTATGCGAACGTATTTCGAAACCAATAAAAGCCAATGCTAACTTGTCTGTAGAATTATCGAGCAGTTGTCGCGCATGTCCAGCATGCCCGTAGCAGTTACTGCCCAACAACAGCAACAATATCAAGAACAACACATAAAAACGCCCACTTCCGCCAATGGCTGGCACCAACCAGGAACACTACCTCCATCGCTATCAACCGCTAAAATCGACAATACCGCGCCCGTAAACTCCCAAAGCGTACCTCCTGAATATGCCATGAAACAAAAAGCCCTAGAGTGCTTAGTAGAAACTTTACGGTCCCTTGATACTTGGTCTTCTCAGGATGCAAATGTTCCAAAATCTGTTTCACGTGAGCCATTTTCTCGACATTCCTTGGAAATGTCTAGAGAATCCCTAGATACTACAGCTCCAACGCTCGCAACCGCCTCTCCAAGATTAGATGCTGGCGAACCTTTGACCGGGCAATCAACTCCTATCCCAGAGGATGATCCCAATGAAATAGAAAAGGTTAAACAGCGCAAAATTGCATTGACAAACGCGATTCGACAGTTCAACTTCAAGCCTAAAAGGGGAATGAAGCTTTTTCTTTCTGAAGGTTTTGTCCGTTCTGGTTCGCCTTCAGATATTGCAGCCTTCTTGGTTCGAAATGATCGCTTAGACAAAGCCGCCCTTGGCGAGTTCCTCGGCGAAGGGGATGCTGAAAACGTTGCGATTATGCATGCCTTTGTCGACTTGATGGATTTTTCTAATCGTGGTTTCGTTGATGCTCTCCGTGAATTTTTGCAAAGTTTCCGACTTCCTGGAGAGTCTCAGAAGATTGATCGCTTTATGCTTAAATTTGCGGAGCGGTATCTTACCGGGAATCCAAAGTCTTTTGCTACAGCAGATGACCCTTACGTTCTTGCGTATTCTGTTATCATGCTCAACACCGATCTTCATAGCTCAAAACTCAAACGCAAAATGACGAAGGAAGACTTCATCCGAAATAATAGAGATCTCCAAGATGTGCCACACGATTATTTGGGAGGTATCTACGACGAGATCGCAAGCAATGAAATCGTGTTATACAGTGAGCGGGAGAACGCCGCAAATCTTGGCCCAGCTGCCCCTGCCCCTGGACTCGCCTCCAGGGCTGGCCAAGTTCTCGCCACTGTTGGGAGAGATATTCAAGGAGAAAAATACGCGCAGGCCTCAGAAGAGATAGCCAATAAGACGGAACAGCTCTATAGAAGCCTAATTCGAGCTCAGAGGAAATCCGCAATGAAGGAAGCTCTTTCGAGATTTATTCCGGCTACATCTGTGCGACATGTGGGTTCCATGTTCAATGTGACATGGATGTCGTTTTTATCAGGGCTTTCAGCGCAAGTTCAAGATACCCAAAATTTAGATACCATCCGACAGTGCATGGAAGGCATCAAGCTTGCCATCCGTATATCCTGTGCATTTGAATTGGAAACACCGCGAGTTGCATTTGTGACTGCGCTTGCCAAGTTCACTAACCTTGGAAATCTTCGGGAAATGATGGCAAAGAACTTAGAAGCTCTTAAAGTGCTCCTTGATGTCGCTATCAGTGAGGGAAATCACCTCAGGAGTTCTTGGAGAGAAATTCTTACCTGCATCAGCCAGCTTGACCGGTTCCAATTACTTACGGATGGTGTTGATGAAGGAGCACTTCCGGATATGTCCGTTGCCCGTGTAGTGCCTCCATCCGATAGTGCTCGCAATCGTAAATCTCTACAGGTTCCTCGAAAGCCTCGGCCTCGGTCTATTAACGGGTCGGCGCAGTTCAGACCGGATATTGCCATGGAAAGCCGATCAACTGAAATGGTTAGGGGTGTGGACAGAATCTTCACCAACACAGCGAACTTATCTCAGGATGCGATCGTGGATTTTGTTTGGGCTCTGAGTAATGTCAGCTGGCAAGAAATACAATCTTCTGGCCAAAGCGAATCTCCACGCACTTACAGTCTTCAAAAACTTGTCGAAATAAGTTATTACAACATGACAAGAGTCAGGATTGAATGGAGCAGAATTTGGGAAGTCCTAGGTGAACATTTCAACCAGGTCGGCTGCCATACCAATACAGCCGTCGTCTTTTTCGCTTTAGACTCCCTTCGACAACTATCAATGAGGTTCATGGAAATTGAAGAGTTACCTGGCTTTAAATTTCAAAAGGACTTTTTAAAACCGTTTGAACATGTCATGGCAAATAGCACAGTTGTTGCAGTCAAGGATATGGTTTTGCGATGTTTAATCCAAATGATCCAAGCTCGGGGAAATAACATTCGGTCTGGCTGGAAATCTATGTTTGGAGTTTTCTCTGTGGCAGCCAAAGAGCCATACGGTAAGTCCTTAAATCCTTTTTCTTGTTTTCTTCTCTTACTAACCATCAAAATAGAGGGTATTGTAAACATGGCGTTCGAACATGTCACGCAAATATATAACACTCGCTTTGGAGTCGTCATTACACAAGGTGCTTTCCCTGATCTGATAGTTTGCTTAACGGAATTCTCGAAGAATTTGAAGTTCCAGAAGAAGTCTTTGCAAGCAATCGAAACCCTCAAATCAACAGTCCCCAAGATGCTCAAAACCCCTGAGTGCCCCCTCTCCCATCGCCGTGGCTCAACTTCCAGCGTGCCGGGTGACGGCGTCATTCCGCTTACACCGCAAACAAGCAGGCAGTCAGCAGAAGAGCAGTTTTGGTATCCTATTCTGATTTCCTTCCAAGACGTTCTGATGACTGGAGATGACCTTGAAGTCCGATCAAGGTAAGCAAGAAGGTCAACGTTTTTAATCAAACAGTGAGGCTGATTGGGTTTTAGAGCATTGACCTACCTCTTTGAGATCCTTGTTCGATATGGCGGGGATTTTCCAACGGAGTTTTGGGATGTCCTCTGGCGACAACTATTATACCCGATCTTCGTTGTATTGCAGTCAAAGTCTGAGATGTCCAAAGTGCCCAATCACGAAGAACTTTCTGTGTGGCTTTCAACGACCATGATCCAGGCATTGCGACATATGATTACATTATTCACCCATTACTTTGACGCTTTGGAATACATGTTGGATCGGTTTTTGGGCCTTCTAACACTCTGTATTTGCCAAGAAAACGACACAATCGCTCGAATCGGAAGCAATTGTCTTCAGCAACTGATTCTACAAAACGTACAAAAATTCCAGTCTGCGCACTGGGACAAAATCGTGGGGGCGTTTGTGCAATTATTTGAGAAAACTACAGCGTATGACCTCTTCACTGCCGTCGTTCCCGTATCTACGAAAGGTTCAGAAACCACGAAGGTAGCGGACGATTCAGCATCTATGAACGAAATCTCAACAGAGCACATCTCCACGGGGGATGAGGCGTCCGTAAACGGGGACCAACGGCCCGCTACCGCAGTCGAGCAGGAAGAAGCTAGAAATGATCAGCATTCTGCCCAACTTGAGGATCACTCTACCGCAGCTGAGCAGCACCAAACTCCTCCCACCATTAGTGCTTCCCGTCGAAGATTTTTCAATCGCATCATAACGAACTGTGTCCTTCAGCTTTTAATGATCGAAACGGTCAACGAATTGTTCTCTAACGATGCGGTATATGAGCAGATTCCAAGCCACGAGCTATTACGCCTGATGGGACTTTTGAAGAAGAGCTATCAATTTGCGAAAAAGTTCAACGAAGCTAAGGAGCTTAGGGTTGCGCTCTGGAAGCAAGGATTTATGAAGCAGCCTCCAAACCTTTTAAAACAAGAAAGTGGAAGTGCGGCTACATACGTTAATATCCTTTTCCGGATGTACCATGATGAAGGTGATGAGAGGAAAAGTAGTCGAAAAGAAACGGAGGAAGCTCTTATACCGTAAGTTTGCGTGCTTTGAGTAATTGAAGCGGCCATAGCTAATTAGATTCGCAGGCTCTGTGCGGACATAATCCGTGGCTACGTTAAACTTGACGAAGAGACTCAGCAACGAAATATTTCCGCCTGGCGGCCAGTAGTCGTGGATGTGGTAGAGGGCTATACTGGCTTCCCTCGCGAGACCTTTGACAAGTACATTGAAACGTTCTATCCACTTGGTGTGGAGCTCCTTTCGCGTGATCTCAACAGCGAGATTCGGCTTGCTCTCCAGTCTCTTCTGCGACGAGTGGGTGAGTGTAGACTAGGCATGAGACCCGCGACGCCGACAGAGACGCCGGTGAGCCCGCGCGGCTCGGTTTCGCATAGTTATTTTGGGAATGGGCAACACAGACACAGCCGCGGTAGATCGATCAAAAGCTAATAGCCGCTATGTCCAACGCAGTTCTTGCTTTTGATTCGATTCGTGCTTTTTTTTTTCGCTTCTTCGGTGGGCCAGTTACCATTGCGTTTGATGGATTTCCCTCCATTGTTCAGTTAGGGAAACCGCTTTGAGTGCGGTTTAATTTTTTCGTTTCTTGGTATATGGCTGCAGCGTGTATATTAGAAGGAAGATTTTTAGTTGCGCCTCGTCTGCTCTACGGATACGCGACAAAAATGCATTTTATACGGAGTTTTTTTTTTTTGTCGTTCAACTACCCAACCTTGCCTATGGAGTCCTCGTAACTAACTAACTACCTTCTTGCGTGCTCTTTCTTGAGAGATGTGTGTAGCAGCTTGCCCGATAAATTTCGTTTCCACAGTTCCATCACACTGATATCGCCATAAGATAGGAAAATAGCACCCTAGCAAAGTATCTAAGATCCACCTGATTACCGAGTACTCACCCAGCAAATAGCTCCCCTGGAAATTCCATATTCTTCCCGGTCAGAGGTAACTACCTAGCGTGGCGCCTGGTTCCATAGCACAAGCTTGATGATGGTGGGTGCGCGCTGCAGCCTGCAGATGGTCGGCAAAGCGGCGCTGCTGTGAGCGTCCTGGGTTGCACAAGGCCCTTTACGGTTTTAATTTCGACACACAACCTTATCCGGGCAAAAGTTGGCAAGGGGAGGTCAAGGGAGATTGCGCTCGTGGTTGGCTGAAGAGCGAAAAGAATGCGGCAGCGATAATGGTATTATCCTTGTTGTTGCTGTTGACTGCTAGGCGTCGATAATTCATGGGACTGGGACGGAGGACATACACATAAACGCGGCATGGTTCTGATCTTGCCCATTGCGTGCAATGCATGCACTCGGGAGGGACCAATCCCCGAGCGTAGGGGAGGAAGATTCCATGAAAATCTCTGCATTTGTGGCGTCAATGAAATGTTGACGGTTGCACTGCTCAAGGGCATGGTGTGGCCGAATGAGACGAGCCGGATGCGAGCATCTGGAAGGATTCAGTGCAGGATTACCCGGGCTATATGGAAGCGAGATAGGCCTGTTAGTGACCATAGAGGATTGATGAGCTCCTGCGTCCTGACCTCTAGAGGCGCGAAAGTGGACGACGACGGTGACACGGCGCAGTTTGATTCTCAACAACATCGATATCTTGTGCCGGCTTGTTGGGTCGGATACACGACATGCCGCCGACGTTCGCTGGCCATTCGAGAGAAGTCGCCAAAACGCTGCTCAAAGGGCCGTGATCGGATCTCAGGCGCACTTCGCTAGCCATTCAAAGTCGCCCATGGGTTCAAGATGAGGCGTTGATGCGCGGCATTGTGGAAGTGATTGGACGGGCAATGCATGAAGAGTTGATCTCGTGGCGGAGATCGAACAGGCTGACAGGCTGACATCGTGACAAGGTGCGATGCTACCTGGACGCCAAGTACCGGATACCCTTCCCCCGATCCACTTTTTCCCCATACCGCCAGTGGGGACTGCGGTGGCCAGGCTGGTGTTTGGGGCCAGGTCCCCGGGGCAGGGAAGTACCAGCTACTTTGTTGAGAGGTCTCGCTCGACCAGAATCGGATCAAGGGCTTGACGGGATGGGCGCCTTTTTCTCTGTATTTCCTCGTTAAGGAGTAGCAGCAGGGAAACCTCGCAGCTCGTAGACAAGATGCCGTTGGTGGATGTAGCCAGCTCGTTACTGGGATTTTACGATGGACTTGGGTGATGTGTCGTGAGCTGTTTGATCCTTTTTCCCACCAGTCAAGACGGGGTTTGCTGAGCGGCCATGCTTGGAGGATGAGATGTCGTCCTTCGAGGCCAGTGATATAAGTTGCCCGCGCATCCCCGCACCACCACCAGCAACCGCTGACCTGGGAAAACAACCTGTTGGGTGCTGACCGCTTCGTTGCTCTGCTTCAAGATTTAAGTCTTTCACTAACAGCTGCTGCTGCCATGCAAGTCCCGTCAATCCCAATTCGTTGTTGCTCCCCTAGTCCCCCCTTGCCATGATCATGGCCAGGCTAACAATGGGCCTCTGGGACCTCAAACGGTACAACTTCCCTTTTTCT